AAAATTGTAACTAAGCCGAATCCGTACATTAAATATTTTTTGGAAAATCCTTTTCGATACAGAGGCCAAAACGATAGTTTCTAGAATTTTTGTCTGTCGTTACCGCATCACGGAAAAACCACTGGAGGGATTTTGATGACATTTGGTATAGGATGATGGATATATAGGATACTTTTTACCGAGGGAAAATATCTCATTTCTGAGAAAAAATACAATTTGGCCGTCTGAACGCGGACGGAGCCGCGGGCAATGCTAGTATATATATATACATGTATGTATTTACATTTTACATATATTATGTATGTATGTACAAGAAGAACAGACCACATGAATAATGCTTCGATCCAATTTAACTCAAACTCGCTTATCAAATTAGTTTTTAATCTATACAGATAAATAAAATTGAAGTGTCTAACTTTTTAATGGCGAATTATTCACGTAATAAAGAGCTAGTCGTTTTACTTTTATATCTTAGTGATTGTGCTTGTAACGCCTAATTGTACAGACAAGTACGCCTATTACCAAACAAATCATTATATACAAAATATGTTAATGCAATTACATGTTTAAAAATGAAAAAAATGCTTCTATTAAGTAATTTTTAATATTAAAGGTACTTTTTCTACATACATAATAGGGTATGATAACTACTTTACATGTTTTTGTAAATTTATTTTCAATTTTATTAATAATACTAACTAGCGACTTGCCTAAATTACTCCTTATAACATCAGCTATCTGCCAGTGAAAGTTTGGTCAAAATCGGTCCAGACGTTTCGGAGATTAGCCCAAAGGAACAGACAAAAAATTTAAAATTGTGATTTTCTTATATGTATGTACAGCATATACATTCATATTATGCATTTAGTAAAAAGCTGTTATTTTGACATTACAAACAGACGCTTCAATTTATTTATATGTATAGATTAGTGATGTAACGAATATTTGCATTCGCATTCGCGAATATTCGCATTTTTTTTTTCATTCGCAAGAAACAATGCTAATGTTTAGCGAACATATTTGACAAACAAAAAGGAAATAATTTATGGAATGGATGGATGTGGAATGATAATGAAACTGTGGTTACCAGTATTTTGACAAATGCAATAATACTAAACTAACCTAAAATCACAACGGATGTTTTCGAATGAATTAAATAATTCGCTTATTCAACCTATGTCTATTTTCGGTTTAAACATGGCCTACACGAAATGTAAAACCTGTCTGTTTAACATCTTTCAAGCGCTTTATTTGAAAGTCAACGTTCGCATTCGCAAATATAGGAGGTGAATACTCGCATTCGCATTCGCGAATCTGAAAATTTCAACATTCGTTACATCACTAGTATACATTAATTTGATATGATTGTAAATGCTCACTTATTTGCGGTTGTAAATCTATGATCTACGACACTTCACACTAGCATTAAGTTACCATCAATGTCGTATTACATAAACATACTATGTTTACTTATACATAAAGTTGTAATGTCTGTATGGTTTAAAAGTTCCAGCCTCATGAGGTTATTTAGATGATGCCAACATTAAATAGTTTTGTCCGTACGTTGGTCAGCTTTAATCCGCTAATCTCTGATCTAAGCCGATTTTTTGTGGACATGAACTAATGGAACCTAAACTGGGGTTACATTTTCCATATAATATCTAATCTAGGGTGAAATACATATTATGCATATTAAGCTACATTTCATCCTTGATACAATCACATACGTAAACTTCTTATATAAGATCGATTTTTTTGAGCCCCCGACGCAAAAAGAGGAAAGTTATAAATTGAATATGTTAATCTGTTTGTGGCATCGTAACAACGAAACGAAATGAACCAATGTTAATTTAGTTTTTTGATAGATTTTTAGTTACAAATCAAGTTAATACGTTCAGTGGTTTGCAAGCGTTCAGCTATTGTCTGACGATAAAACTTTCACAAATCTAATCGATTCGAATCTTGGTATCCCGTAACTTTAATGACATTGCAATGATATGGTAACCTTGGGCTGACGTTCCAGGAATCTGCAAGATACTCAACTTTTTACTAACACACTACAGAAATATTGTGTTTAGGCTCATTTAAATAATCTAAATAGGTTATGGTTTTGGGGGTTTTTTAAATTCTTAATTTAAGAGTTTTTAATAATTTATATGCCTGCGATATTGCATTACATATAATAACAACCATTAAAGATTCTCTGCAGGAAAAGATGCCGCTTAATATAAATATATACACATCCAATGGAGTATCTCTTCATTTTTGTAGTCGGTCAAATAGTTCACCAATTTTAAACTAATATAAATCAAGATATAAGCGAAAAAACCATTTGCCAATTAAACTCTCAATGAATGGTACCTACGAATAAGCTAATGATGTAACGAATATTTGCATTTGCATTCGCGAATATTCGCATATTTTTTTACTATTCGCATTCATATTCTCAAGAGACAATGCGAATGTTTGACGAATGTATTTGTCAAACAAAAAGGAAATTCTAAAGGGAATGGATGGATATGGAATGATAATACAACTGATAAGATTTATATTTTTTATTTACCTATAATATTTGAAAAAATAATTACGTAACAATCTTAATGTAAGCAACTAAATTAGAAATACTTTCTCTTTTGTTCTTATTAGTCAAAATTTTATTATTTAAAAAATCACACCTAAAAACACAGATTATCCTTCCTTACATTTAAAAAAAATCGAATTCTAAATTATGTTTGTGAAAAAATAAAATATAAATAGACTTCAAAAAAATCTCAATCGGGTATTTTCGAAGTCGTTGTGCTTTGATTTATATCAGCTGGCACCGACTTGGAAAATATCATATTATGTATCTATAGTAAATGAAAACTACCAATCAGTAATTTTTTTAATTTTTAGTGTTTTATTTGAAGTCGGTTTTTATTTTATTTTTTAAATTTTTATTTTTCCATTTTTAGTGTAGACATAAAATAGCAAAGTAAGAAGAAATTATTTTAATAAAATATTCACTTAATCCGTTTAAGTAAGTTTGATGCCAATTTTTATATGAAGACTGATAAATTACAATTCGCTTTTATTAGTAACAATAAAATTAGGCTCTAAAATCCAATTCTGACATATAGGGGTTTTAAAATAAAACTATCTTTTCGGAACGAATCGTCAAGAACCAAAAATCGAAATAAATCCGCGAAATAAACCGAAAAGAGTTGTATTTGTAATGTCAAATATTCGCTTAAATCTAAAATATATTGTGTTTGTTAAATCAAATAAAATAAGCCCGAAGTAAAAGTATCTACTACTAGCAATTGAAGAGTTCCACCTATCCACCTTCTGTCCTTACCATCAGATCAGGTCGACGATACCGAATCACTGCATTATCAACGGCAATAGAAACACTTGCAAAATTTTAAATCAATATGACAATTAGAAATAGGTAAAGTTTTCATTAGCTATTTTTCCACTCTTAAGGGTGGTATTTTTTCATCATATAAAATGCAAAACTGGAAGTATACACTTTCAAACAAAACAAAAATTTCCATATCGGTTAATAAATTACGGAGCTCTGAGGTAACAAACCTAAGAAAACCCCCAGCCGAATTGAGAACCACCTTTTTGAAGACATTCAAATCAATCAAATTTATAATAATATCTCAATCTAATAAGCCTTGTTACGATTATGCAAAGTTTGTATTTATTTAGCAGATTATAACTGCGACGTTTATAAATTGTTTACAATTTCTTTTTACGGAATACAAAAAAAAATATTGAATCAAAATTAAACTTCTAATATCCCAAATGTTATATAAACATATGTCTTCAACAATATATTTTTCCATTCAACTACATATTTATTTCTAAGAATTAAAGACAATGAAATATAAACTCAGAAAAACAAAACACTGAATACTTAACTAAATCATTTTTAAATAAAGTTATAATTTATTTTTACAGAAAACAAAAGTTCTAATCTGTCCATAATGTTAAACAACCTTTGGTTTTAATTCTATATATTTGCTTTTTCTATGAATTAAAACTAATGAAATATAAACTACACATTCAATGTAATGACAGTTAACATTCGCATTCGTATTCGCAAATATTGAAGATGAATATTCGTATTCGCATTCGCGAATGTGAAAAATTGAACATTCGTTACATCACTAGTATAAGCCAGGTAATAGACAAATATACACTTATACTATATAAATTATCATATAAAATTTAAAATAATAAAAAAGCAGTATTTTGAAACAAAATTTTATTTTTTATAAAATAGATTTCTGAGTCGAATCTTATTGAAATAATCATTATTTTCCAGACAGAGGTCGAATTTATGGTTTTTAGATTTTTTGTCTGTTTGTCTGTCTGAAAAAGCATCACGAACAAACCACAGGACAGATTCAGATGAAATTTGGTATGATCATAGCTAGTTATCAGAGGCAAAATATAGGATACTTTTTACTGCGGGAAAATTGTCTTTTCTTTTATTGAAACTGTCATTTCTGAAAAATCTATACTAAACCTTAAAATGTAACGTAACGTAGTATAGGGCCCAACCCGAGCGGAGCGAAGGTGAGTCGCTAGTTGATAATATATAAAAATATAGATACACATTTCCTAACAAATAACTCTTAAAAAAGTGGCGTCGACATGTGATCTTAAGTCAAATCAAAGAATATAAGTAAAAAATCGAAAGTTTTAATTGTGTGAACACAAATTCGAACTTACGCACATCACATAAAGTACTTTTTTAATTTTGTCATACAAAAATCAATGAACAAAAGTGATTTGAAAAAAGCGCTTTTCAATTTCGAATTGTGTACTTCTTTTTGAGGACACTTTTGAGATGCTGATTGTGTATTTTGATTTTTTCTATATCAATGAAAGTACAGATAGTGTTCACAATCGAAGATATTTATTTAAATATATAAGGATATACAGTACTAAGAGTTTACTCCTTTCTATAGAAGTCATCAGTTATATAAAAATGTCGAACTTAGCTAAAAGAAGTCAGTAAAAACTTCAAAACGGTGATTTAATGAAGTAATAGTTTGTAACTTCACTCTCGATTTTAACGCCCCATTTTGGCTATTATCCATACAAAAGAAGATTCGCTTTGCGCGGGAGTGTACTAATGCCATAGAACACATAACACAAGGCTCGTTCAACATATAAATATAATAGCCAGTACATAAATATGGTCCTTCTTTATTGTCATCATTGTCCTGCTGTTTTCCACTTTTCACATAAAACTTGACAGATGGAAATTTTTCCTTTAAATATGGCAAAACTTCCTCTGGGATTCCCGGAAATTCCCGATCCGGAGAACTCCAAGCGCCACCATCTTGAGTTTTTGCTACATTATCTATGGCCAACATGGCCGAATGTTGCATTGGATGTTTTTGTCTATTATCGAATGCTACAGCAACAATACAATCTATAACAGGATCAACAACTATAGTTGTGTTTATATCTTTAAACACATTGTCTAATGGAAACTCAATATTTTTATTCACTGCATACCATCTAGTAACTTCAAACACCATTTCCATATATTGTCTATGGACTGACAGCTCGTGTGGTTGGAACATCATATTCTCCACTAGCTTTTCAAAATAAGTATTTGGATGAAAATTGCATGGCCAAAGCCTTTTAACTTCTCTATACTGTCTATTCACTTTTGGTGGCAGCGATGGCACCTGTACTTCTTTAAAATAATCAAAGACATTTCTTAATTCGGGCACATATTTTTCTAAATAATCTTGTATGAAAGTCACATCGGTTAAATAATTAATTGGACATAATATAATATCTTTCCGTTGCACTCTTTTTAAATGCTGAAGTCCTTTTAAGGGAATTTTTTCATTAAGTAAAAGAATAGCTTTAGATATATCTTGTACATTTGTAATATGGCCAACATAAACTTCAACTAGTGGTAATGGTAAATCAAATTCACTACCTAATACTGCCTTCAAATTTTTTTGAGATTGTCTTATATTTTGTAAGCATTTGTCAATGGTTTCAGTAAAATTATTGATGTCATTAATTTTTGGCTTCTTTACGGGAGGCTCAGCTTCATTACTCATTCTGCATGTTTTCTTAATCTTCTCTTTTATTTTCTCCACTTTTTCTTATGAACTCTTGCTGAAAATAGAGAACAGAAGCACTTTTTCATATAACACTGAGTTTGCACTTTAAAAATAACAATAACAATGTGTTATTGCAAGCACTTAAAAAATCACTAAACAAAATAACCTCCAGTTAAATTATTTACTGTATTGTACAAATAATTATATTTAACATAAATGTATGTCTTTTTGGTTGGTGGCTTTTAATTAAAACAATATTGATTTCATTAATATTTCATAGAATTTATATTTAGTTCATATACATAATAACTTGTTTGTATATAATAAAATATAATTAAGTTGGTTATAATTAAAATTGCTACTTGGTAATAGTAGTGGTTGTTAAATCTGAGGTTAGATCCTAATAAGATAATTGTGAGATACCAAATATATTAAAAAAATATGTATGAAATACAAAATAAACATATAAATTAAAGTTCTAGACAACGCGCGATAAGAACTATTGAATTTATAAAGGAACATAATGATAAAATATTACGTTGTTGACATTTCTGACAATTATGGTGTTAGAAGTAGAGGAAATATTATACTTACAGCAATACATAAAATCGAAGAATGTATCACATAACCGATTCGTCTCATTGATTAATAATATCCACATACATACATGTAGAAAATAAATAAAATATAAAATATATTACCTTCATTCGGCACCGGAACGGAGCACAATTTTACCTTTGACGTAATGTATTCTCACAACAAACAGTAAGTCCGTTGAAGTTTTAATATCATAGACCAAATATGGTAGACTTTTCCGTAAATAGAAAATTAAAATTGATCGCGACACACGTAAATTAGTAAAATAAAGCAGCCATTAGACAAGATGTGTTTTCTTCTTCAAAACGTGGCTTCGTTTGACGTCTTGAAGTGTGATTATGCCGTCTTTGCTGTGTTATTGGTCAAATTTATAAGATGGAAGCAGATTCGCCAATGAGGTGCAAGGTCATTAATATTATATTGAAATAGAAAACAGACTGGTTCATATATCAAATTAAAAAGTTCCGTTCAACGCATAATATTATACATTTAAAATAATCTTTTCATAAAAGAATATTTCCTTCAATTAATTTATATAAATTTAATTTAATTCAATTTTCTAAAAATATATTTGTATTTTAATAAATTTACAAAATGTCGGCCCTATATATAATAGTCATATTATTTAAAATGTTAGAATAATATAATATTTTATATCGCCTTTAATATTATTTTTGACTAACGACTCACTCTCGCTTCGCTCGGGTTAGTCCCTAGCTTGCTTCCCAATATAAATTTTCATCCCCTTAAGGGTTGATTTCCGAGATAATAAGCATCCTATGTCTTTCCCATGGTCTCAAACTATCTTCTTACCAAATTTCGTCGAAATCGGTTCAGTAGATCTAGAGATTACACCCTACAACGTCACAAACTCACGAACTTTACCTCTTTATAATATTAGTATATATTAATATTTGTTAAGATGTCCACCATACTAACATCTATACTATAACTAGCGGCTGACCCTCGCTTCGCTCGGGTTTGTCGCTAGGTACGTTTTAAATTGATATAAATAATTATTAGCCAGCGTTAGCCATATAAATTTTAAATATTTTTTTTTTCGGTAATTTTTCTGACTAAGAGAAATCCAAAAAATCTAATATCATAAAAATTGGTCAACCGTTCTTGAGTTAAATGGTGTAACTAACACGACGTTGTTTTATATATATTTACCTTCTTTTATATTTTTCCTCTTTATTAAAACTATCCGTGTACCTTAACCGTTTCCCTGCCCCATGAGTCATATATGAACATTTCGATTGTTTAACTATTGTGTCTATTTTGCGGACAGTTAATCTGAAAAAATATTAGCTGAATTGGTCGAACCGTCCTTGAGTTTTGCACTTAGCAACATTCATTTTTATTTATATATTTTTTTTTTTATAGAAAAAAGGGGCAAACGAGCAAACGATCCACCTGATGGTAAGTGGCTATCGTCGCTCATGGACATCTGCAACACAAGAGGAGTTGCGAATGCGTTGCCGGCCTTTAAGGGACCTATAGACGTTACTCTTGAAGAGCCCCATATTATAGCGCTTAGGGAATACCTCGGGAGGAAGATCATTCCACATCTTACACGTGCGGGGTAAAAAAGATCGAGACGTACGTACATTTGTAGAATGCCAAGATATTGACATTAATATTTATACGATACTAACGTCACTCAATTGTTTTACCTTCCCGGAACCTCTCCACTAACACTTAAACTTTATGTTTTGGTATTAAAGTTCAAATTGACTTTTAAGTATTATTACGAATCTTTTGTATGGAAATATAGAAAAGTGTTGTTTTTAGACTTTCCAGGCAATTTTTTAAATTTTTCTCCCCGTAAGAACCATCCTCGTACTTCAAGGAATATTCTAAAAAAAAATTTAGTGAAATCGGTTCAGCTGCTGCTCTCGAGATTTGCGCTTAGCAATACATTCAGCTATTCATTTTTATCTATACATATAATAAAATTGTAACTAAGTCAAATCTGTACATTAAATATTTTTTAGAAAATCTTATTGAAATAGACATTACTATCGATACAGAGGCCGAATCTATAGTTTTTAAAATTTTTGTCTGTCTGTCTGTCTGTCTGTCTGTCTGTCTGTTACCGCATCACAGAAAAACTAATGGACGGATTTTTATGAAATTTGGTATGGTAATAGCTGGTTATCGAGGTCAACTAATATACTAATACGAGTATACTAATATATAAAACCTAAGAATTTGGTTTTGGTTATGACCATATCCATATCCATAGCGTTGCGCGCGGTTCCGCCCGCGTTAATATGTTAACGCCGCGCGCAATGCTAGTATTATAGATAAAACTGTGCAGGTCAAATGTCTGTAAAAAGAAAAAAATGCTAAAAACCAAGTCAGGGGGGTGTAAGAAGAGAAATAGAACAAACCTAGATTTTATTCAATTTTCTTATTTCTCTGTCTGTTTGTACGGGCTAATCTCCGAAACTGTTGGACCGATTTAAATTAAATTATGCATGGTGGTATCTTATATCCTCGGTCTACATCTTAGATACTTTTCATCCTGGAAAATTAAAGAGGTCCCGTGGAATAGAATAATATAGTAACTTATACAGCTTAGTACACAACAACTTATGCACCTAATTTAGTAAAATTTGGCATGCTGATACCTTGTATTGCCGGTTATTTTTTATCCTGGAAAAATGAACGGTTCCAGTGGGATAGATCTGTTTGTGCTTTTCTAGAAGAAAATCCGAGCGAAGCGAGGATGAGTCGCTAGTTACTAGTAAGGAATATTTTTATAGAACTATTACTTAGTACGATATTTTAAATAAAAGTATCGAGTCGCAGTATTGCTTAAAATACAATTCTAAAATACATGCTCATAACAATATGTAATATAGGTAAAGCGAAGAGATTATAAAATCGCCCCAATAAAAAAACATTGGTAGGTATGTGAAGAAAGACCATAATTGAAGCAAGGCTTAGAGCATTAAAACAAACTTCGTAGATATATATAGGTACATATTATAGTATAGCTAAAACTATATCAATAACCACATCTTGTTAGGAAACTATTAGGATAAGTCCCCTGTGTGAATGTAAGCCTGCACTCCCCGAGGCTATTAGGCGTTTGTATTGATCTTCAAAATAGACCAAAATCCTTTATCAACTAACGCAAATTCACTAAAACTAATATTGTTAAGTTTATGCTAATTACAACTTGAAAGAGTGATACTATCTAATCTTTTTGTTTGATTTAAAAAAAACTCTCTGACAAAAGTTAACCAATTTTCACGTTTTTTTTAAATAATAGATAATTTTAGTATTTTTAAGAAGCAAATCTATACCTAAAAGTGAATAAATTAATACTATGAGATATATTTGACCTATATGTATATAAATAACACTAAAACCTTCGGAAATTATGAATATATATTATACAATATAATAAATAAAAGCCTGTTTTAACATTATTATTTTATTGAATATTCTTACTATTCCATAATTAAGACAGATTATATATAAGATAAATGTTTAAAATAACAAGTTATTGTCAAGGCAGCATGTTTATTCTATGTTTATGGAAAGCACAAAATATACAACGTTAATGATTGAATTTCGAAATATCAAATTTAATATTATTTACTTATTTTCTAAGGTTTGGTACCACGCCTGGCAAGTTTCTGAGGCAATCTCGCAAAGTGCAGACAACGCACGCCCTGTTGTATCATACTCTGAAATAAATAATAACCACATTTTTACAAAAATAAAATAATTCATTATCAATTCAATTTTCGTGTTACTGGTTTCAGAATGTGCCAGTTGAGCACAAATTCAGCAAAAAAATCCATACGAACGGGATCATGTCATATTCCACCACGCTGACCAAGTGCGGACGGACTGACCATGTCTTTCGAAAACTTGATAGGTTCTTTCAGACATGCAGGTTTCCTCACGATGTTTTCCTTCAACATGAGACAAGTGCGAATCACGTGGGAAATGATTCGCACGTGAGAATATCAGAGGTGCGAGACTCGCTTCACTCGGTTTTCCAAGTGAACGCGTTACTACGAGGCTACCATTGCCTTTGAATACAGAATACTTCGCCGCAACAATTATGTTTTTGTACAAAGGCACCCTGACATTAAAATTAGTATTAAAAAAATAATTGACTCAGACTTATTTTTTGGTGTTATACAAACACCAAAAACTACTTTACTTTTTGAATCCGGCCAAAAATGTATATTCAATAAGAAAAGAATCACGTGAAATGGTTCATAATAAGTGAAGTTATCGACTAAAATTCAGCTCATTGCCTCTATAAAGCATCAACTTTCCCTGGCCATAGTTTATCCGTAGTAAATTTGATCCAAATCTATCCAGTCCTTTTAACTTGAAGGAGTAACAAACATACACATAAAAACTTTCGCATATATAGTAATCCTGTGAGACGAATCAAGAACTTTTTCCTTGTTATAAAACGGTTTTTCATGGAATGTTATTATATAGACCCTTGGCTACACACGGACTGAAAGATTTTACTGTAGGTATGTCCTAAAATCATTAAATTAATCTTTTATATTCTTGGAGGGAAGCTCGAAAAAATAAATCTAATTATTGTAATATAAATTACTAATTATTTTACATTAACTTAACAAATGTTGATAAACTTTTAGAACTGCATAACCCATTAAGTTTGCTGTGTCTAAATACTAACCAATGTTGCCAATATTGCTTCTTTTGCCAAATATAGAGCCATTGAAAGGCAACTTCTTATATTTGGCTTCATTCATCTGGATGAGGCACACCAGAATAAGAAGTCCGAAGAAAATGGTTGCACGCATATTTTATACTGAAAAAAAATTACAATTCTGTTGTTGTAAAATAATACTACCAGCGCATAATTTATACCTATTATTTAATGCATGAATTATAGAAAAAAAATAGGTTTTACAGATTTTTAAATTCTAAATTGAAAAAACAAAAATCTATACAAATGTTGTATGTTTGTTAGTTAAGATATTTTTTTTAACGAACGGTTAAAGGTGAACGGATGAACAGATCTTTAGCGAATACAATACTCAAAATATCTACCCCCCTTCACAGTCTAAAAATGTAAGGTTCTATTTAAAGTGTCAAATTAATAATAAATTTAAAATTTAAAAACCCCCCAGGCAAATTAATTGTCATTTAACGATTACACTGGCATGCGTGAAGCACTTAATCGAGTAACCATACGCCAAAATGCCATACATCGTTTTGGAAAAGAGCTGATACTCTTACACTGCTGGACCGATATTAATAAAACATAGCTAAGAACCACCGCAATGAAACTGGCTTTCAAATGAAAGAAATCGCATCGATATTGGTCCATCCGTTTGATACCTACGATGCCAGAGACACACACACACACAGACAGACATCGACTTAAAACTTATAACACCCCTGTTTTTGCGTCGGGGGTTAAAAAGTAAAATGTAAAAATATCCTTACATTTCAGTTGTCTTGTAGTTGTTAACTTCAATATGGTTCGAGTAGAACTGATGCAGATGCTACAACTGCTGGGTATTTTATACCAAATCTTGTACAAAACCAATATACCTACAAAGAAAAATAATTTCATGTTAAAATTGCATTACTCAATAAATTGTTGGCTTGATCGAAGCACAATTAAATTAGTGCTCCATTTCGTATCCCTTATACGATTTATTAATAGAATTTAAAAAGAAAATAACGAAAATTGTATTTAGGCATATTGTGTTTTATTTACATTACATATTAATGTAATGTTTTTCTCTACCTATCTCCCTCTATGTGTGAATTTCCAAAAATGTATTCAGCATCAAATAAACGGATATACCTACATATAATAAAATATTTTTTAACTGAGCCGAATCTGTATATTAAATATTTTTTTGGAAAATCTTCTTGAAATAGTCATTAGGTACTAGCGACTCGCTACTAGCGTACTAGTTACGGTTAGTATAGATTTTATATTTTAGGTTAGTATTACTATCCCAGACAGACATGCGGACTATATATCGATAATCTATACATATACTGCAATTCTAACAGAGTTGAATCTGTACATGTTGTGTTGTATTATTATGTACTGCAAATGTTTTTTGGAAAATCTTATAGAAAAAGTCATTACTATCGATTCCGAGGCCGAATCATTAGTTTTTATAATTTCTTTCTGTATGTTTGTCTAGGAACGCATTACGAGAAAACCACTGGACAGATTTTGATAAAATTGGGTATGGTGATAGCTGGTTGTCCAGGTCAACATATAGGATACTTTTTACTGCTAGAAAATATTTCACTCGAATTAAATAAAAAAAACTAGTTAGTATAAAATCAAGCTGAAACTATAAAAAAATTAACAAGGAAATATACAAAATAGATCAAAAATAATTACAAATACCTTCTCTTGAAAAAAAAACTATATCAATAGCGAAATGTTATGCATAAAAATAAATCGATAAATATTTAGTTAGCTGTAATTTAGAAAATAATCACTAGATGTCGCCATGTGTTTTAAAATACGTAATTTTAATTTAAAAAAAATGTATGTACAGATATCACGTCTTTTCTATGCATCCCGCTTATGTCCAAGACTCCAAATAACCAGAAACACAAACTATTTGGCTTTGCGACAGGTTTAGACATTGTTATTGGCTACAGTATGAAGTCAGTCCCGGACCCCGGTGCAGTGTCTGTCTGCAGGTAATCTAACTTGTAAGGATTGATCTGAAGTCTGAACACACGTTTGGTTCTCGTGACTGCGTCATTGCCTAAATGCCGCCATTTTTAATCCAATATGGCGGACGTTACAAAATGGCGACTTATCATTTCTATAGCGACCCTTATGATATGGACAACAAATGAAAGGGCTTGATGAGCAAAACACAATAAGCAAGGTGACATGACTGTAAATCCAATATGGCGGACTCCCAAAGGTGGCAGACTGTTTTTTATGCACTCCCATGTTATGGATTGATGAATGTTAGATACATATATTATTAACCTGTACTCATCTTTTTATTTCGCTTTTTACAGTCGGGTTTTTTATGTTTTAAAATAAAAAAAATCAAACACTTATTATCATCAACAGTAAATACATTTAATAATATAGCTTACACATATTAATTATTTTATATAACATCACACTTTATACACACCACTGTAGGTTAAGCGCACAGCTGAAGGTTGTTCTTCTCATTTCCCTTTCTTCTTCTTTCTAGCCACACACACGCACACACTGTTGGTTGACAGTCTTGATAAAACGAGTGTAAACATTGAAATGGCTGATTTCAGGCGCCAATTTGTGTGTCTTTTAAAGAAATCTTACAAACCAGTCGAGTAGGATATCAAAATAAAGGTTTTTAAGAGACGATCATAAAAATATGAACACCTTATACATTTAAAAGAAATTATTTTGGCAAAAACTAAGAAGCTGTGAATAAAAAATATATTACAAAAATAAAAAAAAAACCCGACTGCATAATAGCTAACTAAAAAGATGAAAACAAGTTCACGAAGGAATAAAGTATTATGCAGTCGGAGACATACATATGTGCATACAACTTGCAGCAAGGATGAAACATGTATGTCTCTGACTAGTAGTTAGAGACACGCATTAAAAAAAAATATGTAGTCAGTGACTATATAATTTTTTTTGATGCGTTTATGCATACCACCTGTAGAAATACAGGTGTTTATTTATATAGGACTCACCAGCTAGAAAAGCCAGTACTACCTACTAAAACCCGACAAAACCTCCCCCGTCTTAAGCCACATTGACTCGATCGAAGTCTACTTTGTCAAAGTAGTTTTGATGAATAATTTGACGCAACTTTGATCATGTAAACGAGCAATCAAAGCGCACTTTGATTTGAATGTTAATCAAAGTGGACTTGGACCGTGTCCTACTTTTTTCACAGCCTGTTTTGACAAAGTAGTTTGAGGACTACTTTGATTGTGTAAACGAGCAATCAAAGTGCACTTTGACGTCGGCGTTCAATAAAGTGGACTTTATCAAAAAGAATTTCGTTTTAAAGCTTTTTGTCAAAGCTACTTTGTCAAAGCAGACATTGAGCGTGTCAACAAGTATTCAAAATAAGCTTTAATCAAAGCCACTTTCTCAAAGCTACTTTGTCAAAGCAGATTTTGAGCGTGTCAATGCGGCTGTAATGGGGCGTCGCAGGATCGCTTACGCACTCAACCACGACGCCCCGACGGCAAGTCTGCTGAAGCAGACAACAAACTTGGGGTTGCTCTAACGGTCCACTCTGCCATCAGAGAAGTACCAGGACAGGAGCAACCCTTTGGTAAATCGCCCACGTTGTTATGGGGGAGGGGGTAAGGGAGGGAGGGGGGGGGGTTTTCTGCATAATACTTTATTACTTCGTCACAAAGACACCTAGGAACTTGAAGCAAATGAGGGTAAATATGTTTGTAATGTTTACAATTATTTTATTAAAGAAAAATCAAAGTAATGACTAAAGTGAACTAAATTGAAAGTTTTGTAATGTACCTACATGAGTAAGAACGTTATGTACATACGATATGTTATATCAATATTATGCACTAACGAAGTTTTGATCCCCCGAGCTTCAGTCTTATCACCGTCAATATGTGGTCAGTATCCAATAATCCTATAATTGAGTGGACGCCGCCATGTCCTAATTTCGTTGCTATAAAATGGCGAGAGAATCTTTCTCGATATCAGTTGATATCTCGTCTTCAACAGTGCTACTAGATACAAAAATTCATCTCTTACAAAGGTAAAATAATGTTATTTATTTATATTGTTGGACCTAAAATACCGTCTAACAGTATTTTACGTTTTTTTATATTTACTTTCCATTAACACGAATATTTGATATTTGTTTTTTGGATTAATACCAACCATGCAAACGTGAGCTAAGGCTTTATAATCTCAGATTAAGGAGACTCCATTTATAGTTTAAAACCGTAAAGTATTCAAACGTCGGCAAACGCCGGTACACATTTGAGTTGAGTTTTCAAATTGCATATAGATTTTAAATATATACATACATAAATAATTCTGCATATTCTATTGCAGATGTTCGGCATTTTGAGCAGACTCTCATTAGCGCTGGCGCTTGTTGCCATCTTATTCAGCTTGATCGACCTGAGCGAAGCAAACTACAAGAATGCTCCCATGAATGGTATTATGTTTGGAAAAAGAGGACCATCTGGTAAACATATCTTTTATTTTTATATAATATTTTGATTTGGCAATAAAAATTATTAAATAATTTTGTCAAAAGATTTCAACTAAACGAATTGCCTTCTTATTAGCTTTTACTCTCATATTCCGAAAATTATTTAATTTGTATATAGTAGATATGGGTAAACGAAGTAAAAAAATATTAACATAAATTATTATTTTTTTTAGATTATGAATCCCGAGGGAAAACCTTCACTGTTTTGTGTGAAATCGCAACAGAAGCTTGTCAGGCCTGGTTCCCTTCTCAAGAAAAGAAATGAAACTTCTATTGACGCTGGCAAATAAACAAGAAAAATAGCACATAATTTATTATAACTATAATCACGTATTAAAATAACTATGTACATGCTTTTAATAATATAATCTCAAATATATAATAATCGTAGTGAAAGTAAAAATATCTTGTATTTAGAGATTCCAATTAGATTTTTCTTCTATGACTGATATTATGATTTCAATAAATAATTTAATGATATAATATTTTGTGTCATTCGATAACCATCGTGTTTTTAGGGCGTGTAATGGAACGTTTCTAATTGACCTACATTGGAGAGTTAAAATATAGCAACACTCGTGTGAACTCGATGTTAATAATTGCATTGTAGAAATTTAATGTTTTTACTTCAATATTCTTCTGCAATTATAAGATTTTCACCCGGAAAAGATGAACTTTTCTCAAGGAAATAAAATTTATTGTGAAATCATTACAACGTCTTGTATTGATAAAAATCTTAAATTTGACATATGTCAATAAATCAGTGACGTTTTGCATTTTGCAATATAGGTATTTTAATAATTTCGAGCCTGCCTTATTTCTAAAATGATTTTTCTAAGTTCCGAACTCGTGGTGAAATAATGGTATAAATTGACAGTGTTTTATTTTCATTAAACTTTGCTATAACAATTCAAAATGACGACGAAGGAATTGTACACTAAGGTAAAGTTTTTATCATTTGTTTCTATTTTGTTTTTTTCTTGATAAAGTATTGCGTCAAAATTTTAAGTTAGGAATGGATAAAACAAGCTGTAATTAAAGTTTTATTACAATCGGACGTTAGTGATTATGGGTGGTGTAAACGCGATAATGATCGCTTTCACTATCTATGTCAAATGCATGAAATCATATTGTAGGTACATTTAAAATGAATAATTCATTGCTGTATAATTTTATTACTTTTTCAATTTTTCCGAGCTTCTGATTGCATCATAACATATGAATAAAATTTGGGTCAAGATGCACTTGATTATTATTATGTTTTGATTAAAAAGAACCTGTTTAACATGTTTTTATGTCATGCATTAAAATAAGTCATTAAATTATATTGTAGGTATTTAAAACACATCAAACAATGTTTTCTCTTTTTGGTAAATAACACAAAAAAATATGGTAATAATAATGATCATATTATAAATAATATGAATCTTATCGGCTATTTTTTATACCTTCACAAACTTAATCCTTAATAAATTTGGTTTACCTATTTTCTTACTAAAATAATTGTACTTTTTATAGCTTATGAAAAATTTAAAAATATAATAATGATTTTACAATTATTTGAATATTTCTTGTTAGTACATTAACTTATTATAAATATTAAGAAGAACACTTTAAATTTCGTACTGTATTTGCAAAACACTGATATAATTAAAGTTGAAATAATAGTTTTTTTGATAAATTATATATTGTTAAATTTAAATATTATACCTGATAATATTAAAGAAGTCTACTTTGAAAAACAATTAAAAAATATTCTTTATTTAAAAGTAATGTCTACAATTATTATTTTCAATAGTAATTTTACTTAATTGAATACTTAATCACAATTAAAAAAAGAGGTCATATATATTTAATGTCATAATATACTTTTTCAAAATTATGTGAAAGTATTTAGCTAGCTCTAAGAATGCACATGAAATAAGGCCAAAGGCCATAATCTAATTCACAGTCTTAAGTTATAAGTCAACCTAGATGCTGTAATCATAATCTTTATTATGTAGAATAAGGTATAATTACATTAATTATGCTTCAAAGCTTAGCATTGTATGTATTAGAGAAAGAAGTAATATTATATGGTAATTAAAAAAATGATTAATTATCGATGAAACAATTCTCAGTTATCATATTTCAAAAAATTATAATACTAATCAAAAAAAAATCAAAATTGGCTAACTTATTCCAGAGTTTATATATTTTTTTATTAAATGAATACATACACAACAGTTTAATGGTTTATACACAGAATGGAATTACATGGGGCTTATAATTAACAGAATATCATATTCTAAAAATATCTTGAAAGCCTTAAGGTACACAAGACATGTCATCCTAAAGCTCATAATATGCGATTATGTAATCTAAGTGCATATATGATTAAACTAGCGGCTCACCCTCGCTTCGCTCAGGTTCACCTCTAGAAAAACATAAATATATCCCACGAGACCCTTACATGTTTTTTGGATAAAAAGTAGCGTTTGTGCTATTCCAGACTATAATCTCTCTATGTGGCAAACTACATCCAGATCTGTTTAGCCATTCTGGCATGATTGAAAACAAAAATCCAAACATCCATCTTAACCTTCATATTTTTAATATTATTTGTAAGATACTCTTAAAAGTTATATATGTATAGGATATATTTTTTATTACCCTTGGGAAATACCTGATCAAAACGAGGTGTATTACTTTTATCACTGTAAGGTACAAGTGTAGTAGCGGACATAACCTAGTCTGTAATATTTAGCTAGTTGCTCTATGAGATAAAAGAGGCTGATTTTTAATTCAATTAACAACATAGGTAGTTAAGATTCATGTCAATCTATGGAGAAGATTCAAAGGTATAACTTGAGTTTATGTGTAATATTATGTGGTCCCATACAAGTGAGAGAAGTTATTTTCTAGTGACTGTGAACTAAATGGGAATACTTGCGTGTTCCCCGAAGGTAAAACCTAGTAATAGGCAACTATTTTTTGGTAAAACTTTTATAATATATAGTTTTTATAGTCTATAGATTATATAGTCTATAGACTTGTAGGTAGTGATAGCCCAGTGATAACGCGCTCGCTTGGGAAACCGAGTGAAGCTGGTTCAAATTCCGGGTCTCGCACTTCTGATATTTTCATGTGCGAATCATTTCTAACATGATTACCACTTGTCTTACGGTGATGGAAAACATCGTGAGGAAACCTGAATGTCTGAGAAAACCTCGCAGATTTTCTAAAATCATGCTCAGTCCGCCCGTACTCGGCTAGCATGGTGGAGTACGGCCTGATCTCCCTCGTATTGAAGGGAGGCCTTGTCCAGAAGTTCCCACTGGGCTGAGTACAATAGTCTAGTCAAATTAACTATCTGTATCTGTATGTATCTGTATACAAGCTACGATATAATAGTACAGCAATTTTTATATTTCTCACAAAAAAAATACTGAGTTTCGTTCTTAATTCACTTGGACAATAATTTAGGTAAAAGTTTAGTTTATTTATTGTTAATTGAAAATTTGGTTTAATTAGAGTTATTTTATTTTTTATGCCCCACTATTTGACCTCGATTGTATAAACAGAACGTGTGTGTATGTCTGTTCGTAACGGCTGGACGAATTTGGCGGTTTTAATCAACGGTTATTCTTAGAGAAAGATTAAGTTTAGATATTGATACCAAAATAAACCGGTTAATTCCAGAAACGTGCCTCTGCCTACTAAACAATTCACCATTAGCAAAGATTCGCCAAATATGTAAAGCGCAAAAAGTAATTACAAGTTTTTATTTAGTTTCACCTGTCGGACTCTGTGTAATGGAATCTTGCAAGTTAAATTTGACCCACTTCCCAATGTCCGATTGTGCTAAAATTTGGCACATTAGTTTGGTTCCCGATACAATGCACAAATACCTAAATGCCGCCATTTTTAATCCAATGTGGCGGCTGCAGCTAAATAGCGATTTATCATTTCCACATTAACCTCTATGGTATGGGTATCAAATGAAAGGGCTTGATTGAACGAAACACAATAATTAAAGTGACGTCATTCAATATGATCCAATGATAAATGATAAATCCAATATGGCCGACGTCATAAAATGACGATTTATCATTTCCACAATAACCCCTACAAATGGGTATCAAATGAAAGGGCTTGATGAGCAAAACACAGAAAATATAGTGACGCCTATTTTTAAAAGTATTTTTACACTTTCTTCAAAAGCCGGTAACTTAGAAGAAATATTTAATCCATTTTGCTTCATCGAATATGCTCGCGTTTGTTATTTATTGTTATACTAACTACGAACCCTAGCTTTGCTCACTTTTAGTGGCTTTTTGATATACATATTACATCCAGACTAGTTAATATTATAAATGTGAAAGTGTGTTTGTTTGTTTGATTGTTTGTCCTTCTTTCACGTCGAAACGGAGTGACGGATTGGCTTGATTTTTTGTGTGGAGATAGTCGGAGGGCTGGAGAGTGACATAGGGTATACTTTTTACCGCGGGAGATTATCTAATTCCCACGGGAAAACACGTTATAATACAATTAAAAAATATTTATTGATCAGAATTACTTGAAACTTGATATTAATACTCTTCAATAAAATTAAATAAATACGTTTTTTAGCATTTTTCGAAATTCATGCTAAATGGGGGTAAAATAAGGGATGAAAGTTTGTATGAAACTACCTTTTTAGAGATGTTTTGTGGTTTTAGCGCGAGCGAAGCTGCGGGTTCTGCTAGTATGTACATATAATAGGATAATACTTTATTTAAAGTTTTGTTTTCTTACGTGTCATTCATTCAATTAAATATAATTTTCTTCAAATGTTAAAATATATATTAATTGTAAACTGTTAAAAATACTATGTTCGTTCTATAACTTGTTTTTCTTTTTTAAATTATCTACATATATAAAAGCGAGTGTTAGTCGTTAGTATTGTATAAAAGTTGAATGAAACAATAAAACCTATAGATGTAAGACAGTAAACGTCTCACTTATTTCTTGGATTCCTTCCAAGTGATTGTTAAAATGATGAGCTCGATATAACAGCGTAATGTGATTGATTTTTACCAATGTGGGTGTGCTAATTCAAGTTAATTGGATCGTCTACGTTTATGCTTACCGGACCGGCAGTTGCCGCTGTGATGGACTAATTTGACTTGGTATATGAGTACATATCACAGGCGGTAACGGCTTAGCGCTCGTGTAGCTTTAATTAAACTATACAATATACATACTTTTTTATATACACATATCACATAATACTACATTAAGATATACTACATATATTATATATAATATTATAAATATGAAAGTGTGTTTGTTTGTCCTTCTTTCATGTCAAAACGGAGAGAAGGATTGGCGTGATTATTTGTGTGGAGATAGTTGAAGGGTTGGAGAGTGACATAGGCTACTTTTTACCGCGGGATATTATTCTAATTCCCACGGGAAAACACGTTATAATACAATCCAGAAAAATATTTATGATCAGAATTACTTGAAACTTGGTATTAATGCTCTTTAATAAAATGAAATAAATACGTGTTTAGCATTTATCGAAATTCATTCTATAAAAGGGTAAAATTGGGTAATGATAGTTTGTATGAAACTACCTTTTTAGATTTTTTTTGTAGTTTTAGCGCGAGTGAAGTCTCGGGTTCTGATTTCTGCTACTACTACATAAGTGTACTATGTACTACATTAAGATATGTACGTCATCCCATACGAAGAAATTGGATTGTCCTAATTCGTGCTATTTTTAGTTTCTTATTTCTTACTAGCGGAATCCGCGGCTTCGTCCGCGTTCAATATACAAAAAAATATTTGGCTTTATGTTATACAGTGTCTCACCTTCGCTTCGATTGTTATGTATTTATGTAATATATATAGTTTTACAAAATGTATGGAAGTCTTCCCGATGTGATGACTTTTTTATTACTGGTCCGCTCCCTTAGCATGATTGATGTATAGCCTATAGCCTTCCTCAATAAACGGGCTATCTAATGCAAAAATATTTTTTCATTTGATTAGTACTTCCTGAGATTAGCGCATTCAAACAAACAAAAAAACAAACTGCCTCTTTATAATGTTAGTATAGATTATTCTTTCTTAGACGGATCAGATGTTTTCGATGTGCTTTAATTTGTATCAGCTGGCACCGACTTCGATAAAATATCTAATTAGGTATCTATAGTAAATGAAAACACCAATCACTTATTTTTTACTTTTCAGTGTTCTTTTTTAAGTCTGTTTTGACTTAAGTTTTCATATTCACATATAATAAAATTTTAATCGAAGTTCGAATGATGTCGAAATCGTATCACTATGAAATATTTTCCTAAATATTTATTTTGAATATCTATCGGATATAATAGAAAATCTCCTATATCTCTATGACCTAGGTATATTATATGATTTGGCTCCGTTTTCCGTTTTAGAACTTAGTGAAATATCTTGAATAACGTTCACTTGAGAAATGTTGAATGGATATAAATGAGTAAATTGGATAAAAGTATATAAAATGTTCATTCAATAAAACTTTAAGCATATTATATGCTAAAAATCGACGAAGTGTTGTCAATAGAAAAGAAGGAAGTAGCCAAAAGTCTGGCCATGATGCATCTTTGTAGGATTTATTTTTAACCATTCGTTGTCATCATCATTATCAACCCGTTTTCTGTCATTGCTGGAGATTGTATCTCCTAGTGCAAATCTAATATTAAGTATGTAATTATTATATATAAATTAATTAAATTATTCAAATTTTGTATCTTTTTTAGGATGCCCGAATTTGGGTGGAACACCCAGTGAAAGTTTGGGAAGGTGCAACCGTCACTAGTGACTATCGATCCGGAGTGCTTATCGTCAAAATAGACCAGACTGGTGAAATTCGACAAATCAAAGTAAGTATTACTTTTATATTCTTTGTATTTCTAGGGTTCGATCCCTCAAAAGAAAAAAAGGAACACATAAGATGAAATCGTTGTTAGTCTGTCTATCTATCGAGTCCTTTTTATTCAGGAACGCGTGAAGGTATCAAGTTGAAATTAATATCAAATATCTGTTTCTTGGAGCTGTGAAAATATCAAAAGATATGACCGTTTTTGTCGCGTATTTTGACACTCGCTAGGTATTCAAAACCTATAAGGCACTTCCGGTTGATCTAGAATCATGAAATTTGGTAAGAAGCAATGTCTTTGTCTCATAACGCATGTTAAAGGAAAAATCCTAAAACCGTAAATTTAGACTTATTGCGTTTTTTTTTTGCGATTATAAACTTATGTTAATGTTACATGCTACAGAGCAGTTGGTGTTTGAGTCAGACTCGCACTTGATCTTTTATTTTTTTATGCTGGATGTAGTGGATTCGATTCCAGTACGTGAAGAATGACCGTTTATAGAATTTTTATTATGATTTGACTAAGGAACTGTTAAGTAAAGACACAATTGAGAACATCCGATTAATTACACTGTTTATTTTTATACTATACTCGTTCATATGTTTAACAATTTTTTCCTCAAACTAAAGCCGTATAGCGAAGGGCAAAATGTTAAGAGCTTACTAATATTTTTAATTGACTTAATAAAAGTGTCAATGTTAGATGATATTTTCGCCAATCCGATTATTTATTAAACAGACTAAACTCTGAGAGTTGTCATATCTTAATAAAAATATAAATGATATATATTTTAATGCGGTTTAGTCCGTAATAGCGGGATATATAAGTTTCAGTTTTCTTGAGATTTGTTTAAATTATGGTTTTGGTAAAACCGACCAACAGTCTCGTCTCCACTGTCGAGAGAGACCTGAAAAAACAAAATATCCTACATATTTTGTTTTTTCAGGTCCTATAAAGTCCTTTAAAGTTGGTAAAGGGGCAGGAGGGCAAACAAACACCACAATCGACAAACAAACAACAAAAATCATATTTTATTATGTTATGTCTGGTGAACTTTATAGGTCCTGCATTTAGCCAGTATGTATGTATGTATTCAGCCCTTTTTAACGAATGAAATAAAATCTTTATAATGAAATAAAACGCAAGCTTTACAGTTTGTTGGCTATTATCTAAGTACTGCGAACATAATCCTAGAAAAAGATTTTTCCGGTCAGATAACAAGTTGAAGTGTCAGGATGGATGTTAGATAACATTATTTTTTATACTGATGTGTTATTTAGCTAGCTTATTTATTAACCGATTTCAAAAAAAGAAGTTCTCAATTTGGTTTTTTGATCGACTCCGAAAAGGAGGTGCTATAATTTGGTGTAAATTTTCAGTTAAACTCCAGGTAACTCACTCCGGTAAGGATCCATGTCCATTAATGTTTTCTTCTTATCCCTAGGATATTTCTCTAAGAAATATTGTCGTTAAAGTTTTAAGATTGCTTAATTTGCACAATTTGTTACGTTGTTATACATATATCAGTCCACCAGTTTTAGTCTATACATCTATACATATAAATAAAATTGAAGTGTCTGTTTGTAATGTCAAAATAACACCGATTTACTAAATGCATATGAAATTATATACGGTACTTATAAGAACACATCCAGTCTCCCCGTGGTTCTTTCGATTTCGCCGTGCTGACCGCAAAACCACCTCAATTATATGTAAGCTTCGTCTAGGCCATGCGTGTACTCCGGTTCATTTAGCAAAATTAAAAATTAGAAATAGCTCTATTTGTGAATGTGGCTTAGATGAGGGTTCCACTGATCATATTCTCTTTAATTGTCCCAAACTGAAATATTCTCTATATGATATATTCCCTCCTCAAATTCACCGCCCAGTTAACACCAAATGTTTATTAGCCCTTGTATTTAGCCCATTTATTAAAAAACTAGTTAAATTTATAGTAGATAATAAAATTAAATTATAATATAGTTCTCATTATGTATTTTTTTTTCATTCTCGATCAATGTGTCATTTTTGTATTACGTAATTATTTTTCTATTGTTATAGGTTACTCTGTAGACCGATCATTCATTTATAGTTTTAATTCCACAATAAAGTTGCCAAATTTCAAAATTACCGCTCAATCTCATTCGTGTCTTCCTCACAAAACGTGATACTGGCAGAATGAATTGCGTCTGTTAACGCAACTATAAGCCATTATATATATATATATATATATATATATATATATATATATATATATATATATATATATAAAAAAAGTAAAACACATTTTTTTAAATTTTTGTCTGTCTGTTTGTTCCGGATAATTTCCAAAACGGCTGGGCCGATTTTGATGGGACTTTTACTGGCGGGTAGTTGATGTTATAAGGAGTAACTTAGGCCACTTTTATTTTAGTAAAAGAATTAGGGTTCCGCTCAAAAAAATAAAATTTACCTACGGACGTACCCGAGCGAAGCGAGGGTGAGTCGCTAGTACATATGCATATATTTTAAAATATTATCGTTGAAAAGAACATATGTATATGATGTTTATTAAAATTAATTATATTGCAGATCTCAGATGAAACTAAACTGCCTCCACTCCGGAACCCGTCGCTGCTTATCGGTCAGAATGACCTTACGTCGCTATCGTATTTGCACGAGCCCGCTGTTCTACACAATCTTAAAGTCAGGTAAGTGCTTACAATTATCCATACATATATACATACTTTCACCATACATGTTAAATGAAACCATTTATGTTTCATAAAACTCTTCACTTTAAACTTAGAATTAGTTTTCATTTTAAGTACCTTCTACTCCCGACTACACTCACGTGGTAGTTATGTATATAAAAAAAGTGAATATGTTATTTTAGCCAAAACGTGAAGTAGGTAATATCAAACATTCACGCTTCTATATAATAGTTTGATAAATATAATACCAGATTCACACACTTACCAAGCTTAGATTCTTCCTCGTTTCCTCGCTGATGAGATCACTTAAGATTTTTGCCAGTCAGACCGGTTCAGCGATGCCTGGACTGCTGCATGAGACTTTTTAATCTCGTCCGACCACCTTATAGGTGTCCTTCCCCGTGCCCGTTCACCGGCAACTTGACCCAAGATAATCAATTTCCTAAATTATAGCCTGCTTGTGTGATTGCATAATATTTCCAAAGAACATTTTTTGAGAGATTAGGGTCTTTTTTGACAGAAAGTGGTGAGCCGCTTCATAATCTTAAATTCGTAAAGAATAGCGTAGATAAGCCATCATAAATTCAAACATATGAAGGGGATAATATTATTATTATGTAAAACGGGATATTTACCATGTTTAACATTTACTTTTGAGAGATCTCGAAATTTCGGCAGTGTTACAAGCGCAATGGTCACGGGTATGTCAGTGATCATGAAAGTTTAATGACAATACGGAGTGTACGTTTAGCTTGGCTTGTGTGGGTTTTCAAGCACATATGGCAGGGTCAGTTTTTGTGCACAAGTAATAGTGCTTATAGAGATTAGAACAGCAAGCTCGTGGACCCAGCATAACGATACAATTTCAATGTTTACTAGTTTTGGCTTTTCTTTCTAAAAAATAATTTTGATCCAAATACTAATCTTAGCTTCCTCTAAATTAAGGAAGTTTTATACAATACTATAAAAACATAATATATACCCCAAAATTTTCAATTTTCTCACTGAAATGAACGATTACTTAGTTACAGTTATAAGAAACGGATTTTTTAAGTTTTACTTAAGCTGGTTCTTAATTAGTAATGGATATGAATGACACACCTGTTTAAACAATTTCATAACAATACGTAGTATTCATTTAAAAACATTATTTTATTATATTTTAACCTTTGTCGTAAATTTTAAAGTATAAATGAAGTAAATAAAAATGCTGGTCTACCGAGAAGACCACGGTCCACGTGATCTTTTTGCTAATCTTTTTCTACTTCAATAAAATAATAATTTAAATATTATTTTAGAAAGGAAAGACAACATCATCTTATATGTAATTTTTTTATCTCTTAGCATAACTTCGGAAAAATAGCCTAGTTATGTTACTCAGGGATATGTAGTCTCCTATTGTTAACAGAATTTTTAGAAACCATTTAGTAGTTCTACAGATCTTATCACATATAAACGATTTATTTATATTAGTGTAAATAATAAGAAAAAAATGTATTACAGTAAATATGTCGTAGTGTATGAATGTACTAAATTTTATCCAGTCAGTACCCGTCCAGCTGTTTCAGTGTGAAAAAGTACCAATCATACACCCGTACAAATGGTCCTGGGTTCGAGCCCCGGATCGAGCATAGTTTAGTTATTGAGTCTTTTTAGTAAACAAGTCCCAGTAACAGCCCAGAGTTGGGAAGTAGGAGGTATTTCACCCTCGTTCCTCGAAAAACACTTGTTGCGTCGGTGCTGCATCTGATTTGTACTGGTTCTGTCCAATTATCGCCCCATCTGAATTTTAGAGTGACAGCAATGGAGAGTGCACGTGGTGTCTGCACTATAATATTTCCCGCAGTCACAGAGAGATTGGCCGCCGTGGCCGAACCCAGTAGGGAGGACATCATCGTAATAGCTTTAATATTTTTTTAAGAGAATGCTTCATAGATAACTTTTTTTTTCAGATTTTGTGATCGCAATGCTATCTATACTTACTGTGGGATCGTGCTTGTCGCTATCAATCCCTATTACGACTTACCAATATATGGTATGTGACACATAGTGGTAGATATTAGATATATTATTTTACTGCCGAATAATAAATACGAAATAGTTTTTTTTACAATAGGTTAATTTCGTTTGAGATTGAGATATTTATCATAAAATAATAAATTGATTTCGTATATCAGCTATTTCTTTTTAATAAAAAAATATTAAGTTGTATTGCAATACAATTTGAAAATATGTATGTAAAATTATAGCAACTCTAATCAAAATAAAACCGCAATATATTCCGAAAAATAAAAAAACAATTTCTATTTATAAATGTCTAATATTCGCATAAATCTTAAAAAATATTCACTTTGAATGCAGATTTTTTTTAATTAAAATAATAATTTTTATGTAGGTGACGAAACGATAATGGCCTACCGTGGTCAGTCCATGGGAGACTTGGACCCTCATATATTTGCTGTGTCCGAAGAGGCCTACACGAAACTAGAGAGGGAGAGACAGGATCAGAGTATTATTGGTAAGATGTAATAATAATATTCAATTCGTTTTGAACGTCCCACTGCTGGGGGTGGGCCTCCCTGCAATACGAGTGGGATCAAGTCATAGTACACCACGCTGGCCAAGTGCGGGCGGACTGAGCATGTCTTTCTAGAAGTTGCTAGGTTCATTTACGGTAAAGGAATTTTATTTGACCATTAAGACAAGTGGTAATCATGTTGGAAATGATTCGCACATGAAAATATTAGAGGTGCAAGTCCTGAATCTGCTTCACTCGTTTCCCAAGTGAATACATTACCACTGAGCTACCACTGCAATATAATAAATACTAATGTTTTTGCAAAGCGCGTTTTGTTTATTTAACTAACTAATAAAAGGAATACAATTCAAAAAGTATTTTCCATACTAATCTTTTAATCAGCACTAGGCTTTACTAACTCGACACGTATTTTATATTAGTACGGATCACACTTGACCATTTTTATTCTCAACTATAAATGATCACTTTTTTAAACGTAATAAATGGTTTTCTACAAAAAAAAATATTTTCCAGTTAGTGGAGAGTCCGGTGCAGGAAAGACCGTGTCTGCCAAATATGCAATGCGATACTTTGCAGCGGTGGGCGGTAATGCTAGCGAGACACAAGTGGAAAGGAAAGTACTGGCTTCCAGTCCTATTATGGAGGTAATTGTGTTTTTTAAATAAAAGTTAAAGAAAAACATTGGTCCTCTTGACCGGATCTGTCATGGTGGTTAAATCTCTCTGACAATCAACTGCAGGAGATATTATTGTGTATGATAGTTATATAAAAGTTATCGTTTTATTCGAAAAGATATTTTTTCAAATCTAACTGGTATTTCCAAAGATTAACACAGTATAAACTAACAAATTTTTCAGTTTTATGCCAAAAGCTAGTCTCGAAACGAGCATAGATTATTCAAAAATATGTCATACGTTTAATATTTTAAGCGGAACTCAATTCTTTTTCTAGAATAGTAATAATATTAGTTCTATTTTAAATTACTCCTTATAAAATGAGCTATCTGCCAATGAATTTCCCGTCAAAATCAGTCCAGCCGTTTCGGAGATTAGGAGGAACAAACAGACATAAAAAATACAGATGGAAAAAATTTGAAAAATTGTACTTGTCTTATAAGTACCGCTTAAAATTTCATATGCATTTAGTAAAAAGCTGTCATTTTGAGATTACAAACATACACTTCAATTTTATTTATCTCTATAGATTCTTTATTCTTTTTTGTTTGAATTACAGGCGATAGGTAATGCAAAGACAACTAGAAATGATAATTCATCTAGATTCGGCAAGTTCATAGAAATTCACTTCGACCAGCAGTACAGGATATCTGGTGCGAGCATGCGGACTTACCTTCTAGAAAAGTCTAGAGTGGTCTATCAGAGTGCTGGGGAACGGAATTATCATATATTCTACCAGTTGTGTGCAGCGGCTGATTATATGCCGGAGTTGAAGTTGGGTGAGTCTTTTTTTTCAACAATTATGAACATGAGTTTTCGAAAGACATGTGGAGCCCGCCAACTCGCACTTGGCTAGCGTGGTGGACTATGGCCTGATCCCCCTTGTATTGAAGGGATGCTCACACCCAGCAGAATAGTGGGAGAACTTCTACAAAAGTCTAAAATGATCTATTAGAGTCGAAGGGAATTCGATAAATATTTTCATCTGTATACGGGCCCTGCCTTAATCAAATTAAAAAATAATAGTTAGTACTAATTTTTATAATGATGATTCCGACAAGTTTCGGTAACGACATCTGATCTCACTCAAACTAGCTGCACACTCCGAGACACGGGGTGACACTACGCTAACCTTACAATTACCGGAATCGAACCCAGGACCTTCGGATCTGTGACCGTACATGCTAGTCGTTACACCACCACCGAGGCAGTCAAAGTACTAACTACTAACTGAGCACGAAACTCACCATTTGATGACTTTTTATTTATTTTTACCATAACAATACATTCTAATTATATACAGAAAATAGTACAACTCGCTCACTCAGACTGGCAGTTATATATTGTATTACAAATTGTCGTCAAAATGTGTTTTACTTGCAATAATATTTTAGAAAAAGAACAATTCTTTTTAACTCATATAACTCATCTTTAAAAGTGTTAGGGTAAGTTTTAATATAATAAAAACACCAAAACCACATGAAAAATTTTTCAGTAGCTTAAAATTAGCACGCACACACATACAGACTAACGCCGGCGACATCGTCTTGTTTGTGTATGGAGATATAATACTATTTTGCCTCCACAGATCACCAAGACTCATTCCATTATCTGAACCAAGGCGGGAGTCCTGAAATTGACGGCGTTGATGACTTGAGAACCTTCAACGAGACTAAGAATGCTTTGACTACGTTAGGTAAGGCGATATTGTTTGACGACACGTTTGGCTCAGTTTGTAGTGACCCTACTTGCTGTGTCAGCGGTCGTGGATTCGAGTCCCACTGGCATTCATTTGTGTGATGAGCACGAATGTTCGTACTCCAGTCATGGGTGTTTATATTTATAATATGTATGTATTTAAAGTTACATAATTGTGTAGTGTATCCACTATCTGGTATCCATAACAAGCCTCGTAGCTTACCGTGGAACTAGATGATGCAGTGTGTTAATGTCCCAACATATTTTATATCATTATTGTTCATTCATTCGTTATTCGTTTTTTTTACAATCTTTTGTCTATGTAAATAGATAATTGAAAATATATTTTGAATTGAGATAATTATATGTGACAACTTTCATGGTAAACGGTTTCGATGGTATGTTTAGACAACCCTAGTAGCACTGCTGGTAAAATCAATTGGCGACCACCTACTGTATGGATTGTTATAGTGCAGTTTTTACGAACTCAATATATTTCAGTTAGCTAAAATAGCGTATTTTATTAGTTTTTTTTTTAAAAGAGATGGCTTAATTTCTGATTTCTCAAGATTGAGGCATTTTTCGAATTTCCAAGCAAGTGTATTACTAAAATATCAAAGAATAATAAATTAAATTGAAGTGTCTTTTTGTAATACCAAAGTAACAGCCCTTTACTGAATGCATACAAAATTATATACAGTACTTATAAGGAAAAGACAACTTTTTGAATTTTTGTCTGTCTGTCTGTTTGTTCCAGCTAATCTCCGAAACAACTGAACTGATTATGACGAGATTTTCACTGGCAGATAGCTGATGTTATAATAAGTAAATTAGGATACTTTTAATTTAGAAAAAAAAATAGGGTTTCGCTCATACTTAGGGACTCATCCGAGCGAAGCAAGCGTATGTAAGTCGCTAGCAGAATTTATTTATTTATTTATACGGATCTCCAACAGTTTACATATTTCACATTTACAATATACTTAAATTTAATTTATAATTTTTATGTATTACCCATTACAGGAAAACACATCATTCGCTATGTAAATATTAAAAAATATATATTTTTATTCCAATATCCCAACAGGAGTGTCGGATGCTGAGCAACAAGACATGTTCGTTGTTCTGGCGGCCATCCTTCATCTTGGCAACATTCAGCTCAGCGCGGAACCTGATGACGGCAGTGATGGGGACGGAGCTTATATTGATGTGAGTGCTTGTTTTGTATTCAGCCCTTTTTTTAACGTCCCACTGCTGGGCGTGGGCCTCCTTTCAATACGAAGGGAATCAGACAATAGGCTGGTAAAGTGCGGGCGGACTGAGCATGTCTTTTGAAAACTTGCTAAGTTCTCTCAGACATGCAGGTTTCCTCGCGATGTTTTCCTTCGCCGTTAAGACAAGCGGTGATCATGTTGGAAATGATTCGCACATGAAAATATCAGGGGTGTGTGACCCGGGATTTGAACTCGTTTCACTCGGTTTCCCAAGCGAGCGCGCTACCATTGGGCTATGACTGCCTTGTTCTGTTGACTGACTTTGAAAAAAGGTGCTGAGTTTTTTTGTGTTTTATGAATTGTATTTGCTAATTGTGGACCGATTTATTACATTGAGAAACATTTCAGCCCTTAAAGTTTAGTTTTATTTAAGAAATTTTGTCTTTTTTTTTATAATCTCATCTTAGGTTTGTATTAGCAGCCTAATGGCTCGAAGATTTTGAGAGATACTGTCAATAACTTTTTTAGGTGTTCGTCAAGTGGGATATATGCATTTAGCTAAAAGCAGCTGATAGTAAAAATTTAGATTTCACAGAACGTTTGGTCATAATATGATTCATTTGAGTTTTTGTTACTTTAAATTATTATATGTATTTTGTTAAAATTTATCATTATACTTTTATACACTTTTTAGTTATATAGTGTTTATTGTACATTATGGTACCATTTTCTTTTGTTCTGACATTGTTGTGAATATTAATACGCATTATAATGCGAAGACCAATACTTTGTAATAATATATTTGTGTAAATGTTGCAAATATATACTTTTGGTCTAATTAATAAATATTGGAATCTATAAGATTTTCTTTCCTTACCCATTCCAGTCGGACGATCCCCATCTAATAACAGTGTGCTCACTCCTCGGCATTTCCAAGCCGGAATTATCAAGATGGCTGACACACCGGCGTATAGCGTCTGCGCACGAAGTCATAGTGTCCCGCATGGACGTGCAGAAGGCGGCCTTCGCCAGAGACGCCCTCGCCAAGAGGATGTACGGGGAACTTTTCGGATGGCTCGTACAAGGGGTGAATAGGGCCTTGGATACAGGACATGCGAAGAGACATTTTATTGGTAAGGGGTTTTGTTTTCTGTTTATTTTTTTTCATGTGGATGTATAGAAGGATTCTTTTGCTTGAGATGCTTGGAAGAGAATGTATTAGGAACTGTTAAGTGTTTCGTGTAAGGGATTATAGTGGTTTGGACACTAGACATGTCACGAGGCATTTTATTTGTAAGAATTTTTGTCTACTTTTTTTTTGGATATGCTCTAGGGAAAATAGTGTATAGAGAACTATCGAGTGTCTCGCGATATGGACAGGCTGTCTGGATATCTTATAATATTAAATGAGCAATTCTTGTATTCGTGTCTCGGAAACGGCTCTAACGATTTTGATCAAATTATGTGCTTAGATAAGGCTTTGTTTTTTAAGTTTATCTATATTTTATTTTTATTTCACAAAATGTCGAGCGAAGATCGGTTGCCTAGATTATTTCTCTTATTGATCTATGTATTTCAGGTGTCTTGGACATCTACGGGTTTGAAACGTTCGAAATCAATTCGTTCGAACAGTTCTGCATCAATTACGCAAATGAGAAACTTCAACAACAGTTTAACTCTCACGTCTTTAAACTGGAACAGGATGAGTATATAAAGGTATGACTGATCTTTTGTGTTTTTTTTAATTGTTTTAATATAATTTAGTCAATACCTTGTAATTTTTTACTGCTTTTTCCTCTTTTCTGATTGCTCATTAACATGATATGTTTATTAGTGGAAACTTAATTAATGTACGTGCTGCTTTTTATGTGTTTTCTGTAAGTGTTTTAAATACTGTTTATTTCAAAAAAAAAACCTGTGACTTTCCCTCGCTTCCCTTTGGAGCGTCTCTAACAGTAACATATGTGCTACTCTAGGTCACAGTTTATCTGTATACTTCATGCAAATCCGTTTAGTCCTTTCAGCGCGAAACGTATTTAAAAAACATTTTTCGGCTTCACGTTTAGTTCTATTACACTGTCTGTATCATTCCTCATAGTACGGGAGCCCAAAAAGGAGATTTTGTCATTACTCCAACATATAAAAGCCTCTTATGGATGATTTTTGTTTCTTTGGCTTGTGGAAATCGGTACATTATTGAATTACACGCTTTTCTCCATGTAATTAACTCACCACAACTTAATCTGTTTCTAATATTCCTAACTTAACAAAATATTTTTTAAATATTTTGATCGGCACTAGACGTGACCTTATACAGAGGACATATATATGGTGGAGGTACTCAAAAGAGTGCAAGCAAGTTCTTTAATTGAGTAAATCCCAAAATTCCCTCTAAGGTTAACCTACTATAAGGAACTCCTCGCTTTGCTCTTGTTCGTCCCTAATTTGATTCCCCATACAAACTTTCATCCTCATTTTCACCCCGTTAAGGGATGATTTCCGGGATAAAAAGTATCCTATGTCCTTCCCAGGGCCTTAAACTATTTCCTTACCAAATTTCAACTAAATCGGTGCTGTAGATCCAGAGATTAACCCCCTACAATATCACAAACTCACAAACTTAACCTCTTTATAATATTAGTATAGATAATATAGATAGAGTGTCATAACACTAAACATGAAACTAAACAATGAAGTTTTAAAAGTAATATGCCCAAAATCCCCTCTTAAGCTCCCCTATTATTAGTATGTAAATTAAATTACAAAAAAATACATTCTAGACTCTCACCTATCACTCTCTTACAGGAAGAAATATCCTGGAAGATGATAGACTTCTACGACAACCAGCCATGTATTAACCTGATAGAGGATCGCTTAGGCGTATTAGCGTTGCTGGATGAGGAGTGTCGTGTGCCCCAGGGCTCTGACCCTGGCTTCGTGGCCAAGTTGCACGACAAGTGCGCCAAGTACCCGCACTTCTTGAAGCCGAGGTTTGGGAATGCTGGTGAGTTGTTGTCCAATTTACATGGCAGCCAGTGTAGTTCTTAATCAGATCGTCTGGAATGAGGAGCGCCGCTCGGATTCGAGCTCAAGTTTTCGACAAGTTACTTCTAGAAGAATTTAAAAGCCAAGACTTGGTAATGCTGGTGAGTTGTGGAAATTGTGGCCAAGTTCATGGCAGCCAAGGTGTTTTTAACTTTATATGTTATATATGTTATAATTATAAAAGTGATCCTTTATGTATTTATTTCAACTCATATAGATGTCCTTTCCAGGGTCTCAAACTATCTTCTTACGAAATTTCATCTAAATCGGTTCAGTAGCTTCGAAACCTATTCGGTACAAACAAACAAACAAAAAATCAAATCTTTCCTTTTTATAATATTAGTATAGAAACTCTATTTTCTCCACAGCATTCATTATAAAGCATTTCGCGGACAACGTAGAGTATCAATGCGGGGGATTCCTGGAGAAGAACCGGGATACAGTTCTGGAGGAACAGCTGGAGTGTGTGAAAGCTGGTACCAACTGCCGGCTCATACACGTGATGTTTGCGGAGACCCCTGTGGAACATTCCGCCACCCTCCCACCACCTTCGAGGAGGAGGACCACCCCCTCTGTTGCGATGGGTAGTCTTACTGTAAGTAATTTTTTTTAGTGTAATTAACAAAAATATGGTGTGAAATTTTCTATGATTTGTGTTTAGGAGTGTGAATGGAATTATTTAAATAGTTGAAGGTTTTTTTCAGTAATAAAAGCTACATATTCGTATAAAATTTTAAATTTTAATATACCTAATCTATGAATAAAAACTGAACTCCTGTTTAATGGTAAGCGCGTTAAAAACCAGCTGCTTTTTTTTTTAAATATTCATAATATTTCGAATAAGGTTTAAATAAAAAATATATGTAATAAGTATTTAATATTAATTTCATACCTAACTTGATACCTCCACGCGTCCCCGAGAAACATTTTTTTGACAGACAGACAGACGGACAACGAAGTGGTTCTAAAAGACTTCGCTTTTAACCTTTTGAGGTATAGAACCCTCAAAAAAAGTCCAAAATCCACCCACAAAATGGGTTAATTTCGTGAAACCTTACCTTGATTATATACCTACCTCTTCCAATCCATTCCTCCGCAGCAACCACCACGCAGAGCCTCAGGCCAGAAGCAAACAGTAGGAGCTCAGTTCCGTGCGTCACTCTCCGCGCTCATGGCCACGCTGTCCGCCACCACGCCTCACTACGTGCGCTGCATCAAGCCCAATGACACTAAACAAGCCTTCCAGTTCGACGCGGCCAGAGCCGTGCACCAGTTGAGGTGAGCTAGACGCGTATACAAGCATTCGCTGTCTCTATCATCTTATTATATGTATTATCAGTTGAGGTGAGCGAGGCACATGTATAGTAGCATTCTCTGTCTCTTTCACTCTTATTAACTTATTTAACCTTTTTTTCTATTTTAACTTATATAACCTTTGGATGATATTTCGAGAACATAATTATTGTATTGATATATTGTAAATTGTATATATTTAAAAACAGCAACCGTTGAGTTTCTCTTCGGCTCTTCTCACCAGAACTGCCTTCCGAGCCCTTTGTATTGAATATACAAGAATGAATAAAACGTAATATTTCATATGAATATATAATATGAAAAAAAATAGAACTAACATTTTTATCTGTTTTCAGAGCTTGTGGTGTTTTGGAAACTATTAGGATATCGTCTGCTGGTTTCCCATCAAGATGGCTGTACCAGGACTTCTTCCAAAGGTATGTTATTATCCTTATATCACTGATCATATATTTCATTAAATTAAGTATAATTATTAGTTGACTTCAGTGTAATATTATTATTAATATTATTAGTAATATTGCATTTATTTATATTATAGTTAATTTTAATTGTATAATTGTTTTCTTTAATTGACTGAAAATCTCTTTACTTTTTATGAAAGTTTATCAACAAAAGTACATATTTTCATTATTTATTATTGCATATCTAGAAGGATTATAGTCAAATTTATTCATAGGATTGAGATAATCATCAAATAATTTAATAATATAATAAAATTATAATAGTATTTATCTAATCATAATGTGTGCGATCCACACAAGAAGTACCGAACCAATTTAAACTATTTTTTTATTACTCAATTCAACTGGTTTTGTCGAGTCGTCCTTAGAAAATGACACCGCCTAACTGTGAATAAATGAATGCTATAACTGTACTGGAAAATTGTAGGTCTTAAAAAGACCTACAGAACTACGTTTGTATCGGAACCTGTGTCGCCAAACTTACACAAATTATACCAATAATCATATTATATTAATTATTATATAAAAATAAACAACCAATCAAACATTCGTGTTTTATTTTAATGTTGTTATAAGGCAGTGGTAGGGGTAGGGTAAGGCTTGGGAAACCGAGTGAAGCGAATTCAAATCCCGGGTCTCGCACCTCTGATATTTTCATGTGCGAATCATTTCCAACTTGATCACCATTTGTCTTAACGGTGAAAGAAAACATCGTGACTAAACCTGCATGTCTGAGAGAACCTAGCTAGTTTTCAAAAGACATGCTCAGTCCGCCCGCACTTGGCCAGCGTGGTGGACTATGGCCTGATCCCCTTCATATTGAAGGGAGGCCCACACCCAGCAGTGGGACGTTAAAGAGGGCTGAATACTACTGTTTTTGTTTTTTAACTCATTTGATACCATAGAGTTTCAATAGGTGCTCAATGAGTCCGATTAAGTAAAGTAGGTCAAAAGCGTGTTTTTTTTCTTGTTTCAATAAATATTTATAAATGGATATTTTTTAACATCGTTTAAATATTTATTTTAATACAAATATTATTTCTTTTACAGATACCGCCTACTTTGTCGATTCAAAGACATCGACCGCGCGAACATAAAGAAGACGTGTTCTAAAATATTAGAAAGACATGTGAAAGACCCTGATAAATACCAGTTTGGTGCTACCAAAATATTCTTCAGAGCTGGACAGGTATTTGAAATATTTTTTCTACTCTGTATGTAGTTTCAAGTTAAAATTTTTGTGAAGGTTGAAAATGAAGGTAAAAAATTTAGTTTAATTTTAATTGATGTATTAATGCTATTTATGTTAATAATTGTATAAGACAGTTAATGGTATAAGACGCATGACAAAAGTGCGGCTGGTAAGAGCACTAGTCTTTTCCATATTTTTGTATGGTGCTGAAACTTGGTGCATCAAGAGCCACGATATCAAGAAAATTGATGCGTTTGAAATGTGGTGCTGGTGTAGGCCGTTGCGCGTACCGTGGACCGCTAAAAGAACGAATATATCTATTCTTGCCGAACTTAAGATCACGGAGCGGCTCTCCACTGTCTGTCAAAAAAGAGCCCTAAGTTTTTTTGGACATATTATGCGATCATCCAAGCATAGCCTAGAGAAACTTATTATCTTAGGCCAAATTGGCGGTAAACGCGCACGGGCACCTTATAAGGTGGTCGGACGCAATAAAGAAGGCAGTGGGCGCTACTTTCCATGCCGCAGTCCAGGCATCGTTGAACCGAACTGACTGGAAAAAAATCATAAGTGGTCACGATTCTCATCAGTGAGGGAACGAGGAAGAAGAAGAAGAATGTTAATAATATAATTTTGTTTTATGTATGAATGTATTCTAATTGTTTTCTATATATTTAATGATACAGCTGGGTCATAATTCGTACTCCTTCTCTCTTTTTACTATATATTAAGATTGTCAAGAGAAGTTAACATGTTTTATATTTAAGCGTTAAGTCCTTATTGTCTGTCTGTCCGTAGGTGGCGTACCTAGAGAAGCTGCGCGCAGAGCTGCAGCGTCTGTACTGCGTGCGAGTGCAGAGCTGCGTGCGTGGCTTCCTCGCGCGTCGCCGCTACACGCGCCTTGTTGCCGCACTACGTGGCCTGCAGGCGCGCGCGCGTGGCTTCCTCGTGCGCAGGTCTGTCTCCGTCTTGCTCGCTCTCACCCGATACGCCCTCTGTCTTTCTCACTCTCACGCTTTGGTGTTACACTCAGCTAATCGCGTGCCCTCGCTACGTGCGCCTGTACTTCATGTGTAGGTCTGTCGCCGTCCCGCTTGCTCTAACGCGACACGCCCTCTGTCTGTCTCACTCTCAGGCTTTGGTATTAAAAGTCAATAATTCTGTATTAAAAACTATTTAGGTAAATTATGCTACAGTATGGGGTCCTTCAAAAGGGGAGTAAATAGGTTTTTAAAGGGTCGGCAACGCGCACGTGATGCCCCTGGTGTTGCAGGCGTCCCGTAGGCTGCGGTAACCGCTTACCATCAGGCGGGCCGCATGCCTGATTGCCACCGACGTGGTATAAAAAAAAAAATTGGTCGCTTGGACAAATAAGCACTGATACGAGGAAATGTCACAAGGAAATCGTACGTCTTTCATAAATTACTGAGATTCTTCTAGATATGTAACTTTCCACACGACGTTTTCCTTTTATATTAAAAAATGAATTCTTCTTGAAAATAATACAAAAATACTCGCTTCCCTTGGTTTCTAAAAAACAAATCCACATTAAAATAACAAATATTGATGATAATCTATGCATAGTATAAAACAAAGTCTCACTAGATCTTTTTAACTACGCAACGGATTTTAATGCAGTTTTCAGTGATAGATAAAGTGATACAAAAGTAAAGTTTATATATATATATATATATATATATATATATATATATATATATATATAAAATTTGCATATTATATTCATACTAACAGTCAAATTAAAACACACACACAAACAGGAAAGTCCAAGAGATCCGTCGTAACCGTGCAGCTATCAAGATCCAGAAGACTGTCCGCGGGTGGCTCGCGCGCGCCCAGTACCGCCGCGTGCGCTCGCTCGCCATAGCGCTGCAGGCGCGCGCGCGCGGCTACCTAGCGCGGCGGTTGTATAAGAACAAGAAGTTACTTAAACTGGTAGGTGTGTGTGCGTGTATGTGTGTGTGCGCGTATGGTATTAGCGATGGGCGATTGTTGCAAAAAAAAACAATCGACTGAATCTAAAATGATTTAGTAGTTCCTCACCATGATTATTCGTATAACAATCGACAACTACTAACTGTCCGCACGACGCACACTGCACGTGCGTGCGGCGCGCTGTGGAACGCCACGCGGGGCGGAGCGTGCGGGCGCGCTGGTGCGGGATGGTGTTTCGTAGATTGTTTTTAGTATTACTTCAATTTGTTTACGTACGAATATAGTAATATGTGTAAGTGTGCTGCGCTACAAATTAGTAGTTAAAGTTAACATGGAAACCATGTTCGACTAAACTAAACAATCGACTAATTCGATTAGTTTTAGTAATAATCGCCCATCGCTAGTGTGTGTCGGGGGACCGCTAAATAAATAAAATAAAAACCAGAATATAAATAAGAAGATTGATAATGATAAAGTATCAGCTGTCCCCCGACGCGGCGACGCTCATCATCAAAATATTAATAGTTACTTTTAATGAAGTTAAAATGTCAAGAGAAATTTTTTTTAGTTTTTAGCGTTTATTTGTGTCGGTGATTACTTATAAATAAATCAATATTGATTCTAAAACAAAATTAAATTTATTCAAACGCAATACATTCAATGTGTGTGTGCACTCTGTATGAACAAAGATATTACAAACATTTCATTATTATTTATATACACAGGTTTGTATGTGCTTTGTAATTTTTTTTAATAAAAATAACTATTATATCTTGCCTGTGTTATTGATTCCCGGATATTAACTATCTGTATACAGAAATTCATTCGAATCTTTTGAATCGTTACAGCGTAAAGAAGTAACAAACGAGCAAACGCACACTCGCAATCTTTCACATATACACTATTCTTGCAATTATAATCTCTACAGGAAACAAATGACTTATATAAATTATAATACTTTCTTAGATTTCTTATATTTGAAATTTTAAATGAAAACAGCTTTCCGGATTTTGTCGCGAAATTATTTTGATTGACGTTTCAAACGCTTATATATATACTTGTCCCACAGACTATTGGTTTGCAACGCTACGCGCGCGGTTACCTCGCGCGCACACGCATGAAGAAGATGCGACGCCAGATTGTCATATGCCAGGCTGCTGTAAGTTTTTGAGCAGAACTTCAAACTTCGAACTTCCACAAAAAGCCACGTTATTTTAGCCTTAAAATTCCGATTGATTTTCAATTATATGTACATTTAGTTTTTTGGTTGCTTTGAAATCACATATAATTCAATTGAGTTGGTAAATAAGTGAGGTCACGGGCAGCTATCGCCATACACAATATATGGGGGAATACCCTTTTGATAGATCATACATATATAGTCAATGTCCATTGATTGGTGGTAGTATTCTCAGTACTTTTTTAATGTCCATAGCTAGGAGTAGGCCTCCCTTTAATACAAGGAGGTTCAGGCCATAGTCCACCACTGTGGCAGTGTTGCGAAGACAAACCTGTTAGGTTCTCATGCAGGTTTCCTCACGATGCTTTCCTTCACAAGTGGTAATCAATCATGTTTAATAAGAAATATTCTCTTATAAATCTCTTTTTTCCAGATACGTCGTTGGCACGCTCGTCGCCAATACAAAAGGTTACGTATCGAGGCTCGTAGTCTGGACCACGTCAAGTCCTTGAATAAAGGTCTGGAGAACAAAATCATCAGTCTACAGCAGAGGCTAGAAGATGCTCAGAACAAGGCTAGGAAGATAGAGCCGCTACAAGCCCAGATAGATGAGCTTAGGTATGTTTGATATATTAAACGGTTTTAGGGTTCTGTACCCGAAGGGGGTCAATGGGATCCTATTACTAATTTTCCCTATTACTTTTTTATTTATTTATTTATTGAAATTTCAGTACATATATAGCAAAAACAGTTATAAACGATAATAATTGCAAAAGTGAATAAACTGTGTCGCAATTATTAACACCCTCTACCAGCAAAATGACAGAAAAAATATGTACATATACATTCAAAAACTAATCAAAAATAACATTTATAAAAACAAAAATATAAACAAACTTTTTAGCTAAATTAAATAAGTTTACAAAAAATTAAATTATTTTAACTGAAGCAAAATAGGAATAATTGATACTAATATTGCAAGGCATTATATTTACATTAATTAAATAATGCGATAATAGATATGTAGTGAATGGGTCAGTATGAGTTGTGTGAGTAAGAGTGTGAATGTTATGTGTGAATATATATGTGCGTTTGTGTATGTGAGTGCGTGTTATTTTATTAAATTCTTTGTCTGGTGATTACGGACGGACCGTCTGTCAGAGGGCTGTATCTCCTGAGCCGTAATAGGTAGAGAGGTGAAATTTTCACAGAGTATGTATTTCTATTGCGGCTATAAAAAATAGTAAAAAAAACGACACAACAGTTATTGTGTTTTCCCATGGGAATGAAAGATTTTCCTGTAGTAATATAAAAGTTACGTAAGTTTTCACTACATTAAATTTTGTTAAAATGCGTTCAGTACTTTATGAGACGTGAAACGGCCACATACATACAAACAATCAGACAAAAATTTCAGTAACTATTGTTTTAGGGTCTATATTTTGTACACAGAACGTTACAGTTATTGTTTGTACAGATTTCGCTTTGTTACTATACTATTATATGTATGATTATATGATATAAATGGACTAAATATTATAGTTATTTTTGGGATTCGGTAGAAAATATACTGATAATTTACTAACTTTTTTTAATGAACAGGGCAAAAGTAGAATCATTAAAGTTAATCGAAATGGAAGCGAAAGCTCTTAAAGTCGACATCTCGACCAAAGACAATCTTCTCAACGAATTGCGCGCTGAAATAGCTAAAGAGAAAGAGAGTAAGAAGAAATTGATAGAAGAGAAGAAGGCGATAGAAGAAGTTTATAAGAAAAACAAAGAAGCACACGAAGCTGAGAGTGAGAAGTTGGCGAATGAATTGAAGAGTAATAAAGAACATTATGAATTGGCCATTGAAGGTAATATCTTGATATTTTTTCTTTTTAATATTTTATGAAATAGATCGTTTTTGGTTGCTATTGGATTTTCGCAGTTTTATATTAATGTTGCTAAAAAGATTAAATGATCCACATTCAAAATATACCGTAAAATGGGGTTACTTGGATACGTTTTATGCACATTTTTTAAGATAAAAAATGAAAAATTAAGTTAGGGCAACAAACACATGTTAATCGTACCGACCTAATTTTAAAGATTACATAGTTAATATAAAACATTGAAAATATCTTATAAGCCGGAAAAAAAGTGGTGTCTCAATAACACCGTTGATGGGGCTATTTGAACACTAAGTTTCGATTGAAGGAAAATTTCTTACTTTGCATGTTAGATGATCTACTTCACACGTACATATCTCAAATCCGATATTCGGCTCATCATAGTTGTATAAGTTTACACCTTCACTGAGAAAATGACAAGTTCGGCGTTAAAAAAGGTCATAATGTCATCGCGGTTGACGGACGACCTGGACTGCTTGATGTTTGATGCAATCCTGATGGTCAGACTAGTTAGTTGGACCTGGGGGGTTGTTCTTGAAGACGTGATCCCGCTTGCTTTGTTTATGCAGGTATTTTATCACCACATTTGGCATTTCTGCCTTTTTCAAGGAGATTCGCATCAACAGTAAGAGTTTCAGAAATCAACTGCTCCTTAGACTGACTTTAAAACGGTTAGATGTCCAATGAGTCTGGTATTCCTTCCAAGCATCTTTTGTACTAATATTATGGCATGAGGCACTTTGAAAGTTTCAGCGGCCTTTGTCTTTGACATCCCCCCCTTTTTGCATTCGTAGCTTTTTCCAAGTCCTCCACTTTGTAATTCTTGTAGGGTTTTGAACCTGGAGTCTTTTGATTCGTGCGCACCATTTTAATGACTGATTATCTACCTCTAACAAGAAGCAACAGAACTCAAATAAACAAAACATAACCTAACCTCGCTTTCATGACACAGGAATAAACATGTCTGCGTTGTGTTTAAGTAGCCCCGGGGTGTCCAAGTAGCCCCACTTTACCGTATATAAATTAGCGACTCACCCTCGCTCCGCTCGGGTTCATCTCTACGTACGTTTTAAAGTTGAGTATAGATTTCTTACAGATGAGATATTTTTCCGCAGTATAAAGTATCCTATATGTTGACCCTGTTAATCAGCTTCTATCATACAAATTCATCAAAATCTGTCCAGTAGTATTCTCGTGAAGATAGACAAAAATTCTAAAAACTAGATTCGACCTCTGTATCCATAATAATGTCTATTTCGATAAGATCTTCCAAAAAACATTTAATGTAAAGATTCGGCTTAGTTAGAATTTATTTTATTATATATAATTTATTTTATTATATGTATAGACGGGATCTAAAAAAGGTTACGGTCATAAATAAATTTCCAAGAAGAGAAGTAAGGACACGTTATACTTTTGCTTATGTTGTGTTTTTTTTTATATATATTGACACTTATCAGTTCTACTCGTATCATTTAATTAGTAAAATTAGTAACATTACTTAGTAAACAGTAGATTTTTTATTTTTAAAGCTATCTATACATATAAAAAGTCAGTGATTTTTAATGTGAATATATAAATATAACAATATGTATTTTTTTTTCAAGTATATGGAGTTTATATTTATATGTCACGAGTGTCGTTTTAAAAAAAACTTTTTAAAATTATTGTCTGTCTGCTTATGCTATGTAGTCTTTGGAACGGCTTAACCGTTTGTAATGTGACTTTCACTGAAAGATAGAGAATTTTTTAGGGCTACATATTGGTATGTTTTATTCCGCAAACATTTAGGGTTTCTACGTGTAAATCCATAAAAAATACTATAAATTCGAATTGCGATTCCGTGTGTGTATCCTCCTAGGGTACAATAAATATTTTTATCTATTAAAAACCTACCTAGAGACGCCCCCGGGTCAAAGCTAGAGCAAGTCACTAGCTTATGAATATATTGTGGAAAAAAAGCTACCAGTATGTAAATTAAGTCGGAAAAATCGTTAAAACAATTCGTTAAAACAAATTATATATATATATATATATATATATATATAGAAGTTATATATATATATATATATATAAATAAAGATACCATAGAGCATCAAATCATTTCGCCGCTAGCACTTACTGTAGCGACAGAGCGAATTAAAAACGATACACGATTAGATATTATTCGTTATCTGCAGATAAGTGCTAAGTTTGTTATTAACCTGAAAATAATTAGTACACGTAGCGCTCTAATTTATTTTGTATTAAAAAAGTTTGATAGAAAATTGTTTAGTGTTTGTTTTCCAGTGTTTGTATAATACTATATGTGTCACGTGAATTTGCGTGAAATTTGATTTGTTTAGTTCTAGTAGTTCTTTCTATTACTAGGTCGATTTTTTTTGTACTAAATTACACGTTTCTAATTCCAAAAACATTAAAAAAAAACATTCTCATTTTACCCTTTTTAGAGAATGAATTTTGAAAAAGCTTTTAGCTCTCATTCGTTATAATATATGGAAGTCTATCAAAAATGTATTATTTCCAAAGCCAACGGCTTACACTGTGTTTTGTCTATCTATCAGTCAGCCAACAAATTTGAGATTTCTAATAAGTCCATATGTATTTGATGTTAATTTTGATCCATGTCTTTATATTTTCAATTTTAATTCCCAAAATATTTCTAGTGAAGCGGGTTCAAATCCCCGGTATCGCACCTCTGATATTTTCATGTGCTAATCATTTCCAACATGATTGCCACTTGTCTTCCGGTGAAGGAAAACATCGTGAGAAAACATGCATGTTTGAGAGGACCTAGCAAGTTTTCAAAAAGATATATGAAGTGAACACAAGGCATTATAATTGTAATTTAGATTTTTTGAACTCTGGCATTCTTTGAATATGGCAGTCCTCTTTAGGTCCATAAATTTGAATATACATTCTACATCAAATGAAATATGCTGCGTGTTTTGAATGCCCATTTTAAGTGATAGATTATTTTGTTTATCATTTTACATTGTTAGATAATTGAAATGATAATAATTCAGCCATTTTAACATTCCAATGCTGGGCACAAACCTTCCCTCAATACATGGGAGTTTTTCACGTAATTTGACTAGTTAGGTTCTCTTAGATATGCAGGTTTTCTTACGATGGTTTCTTTCGTCGTATAAGCTCAGATTATTATGAAATTTGTATATGGAAAATCTAAGAGACCCGGTGTTTATACTTTTTTCTGTCCGTGTAATTTCTTATTTACGATTTTAAAAACTCTAATACTTCATATTTTGTTAAATGTATTAGTTTTAAAGTCTTATATATCTGTTTTAAAATCCATCCTTCCATTCAATATTGATCCAAAAACGATCCTTTTTAAAACTAACTGGTAACAGTTTGTCAAAACAGACGAAAATTTACAATATATGCATATATGATATCATATATATGCATAGCCGAATGTTAAAACGCTTTCTTGAAAAAACAAGTTAAGCGGTTATTAAACACTTGCTTTACGGTTGAAAAAAATATGAGAAAACGTGCCTGTCTGATAAATTAGAATCTAACTAGTTTTCGAAAAACACGTAAAGTCCGCCCGCGCTCAGCCAGCGTGGTGGACAACGACCAACTCGCAACCAATAATATTTGGGAGACTTATGCCCAGCAGTGGGACGTTAAAAAGGTCTGAATGAGATAATAGGTAAATCCCCCCCCAACGTGCGTTCACCTTGTCGTGGTGGGGGGGCTCAGTAGTGCCCGGCAATACAGCCGGGCGCGAAGCCAACAAACGCACAGGGAGATGGCCCACTTCGGTGGGCGGTGGGAGGTGGCCCTCTTCGGAGGGCGGTGTACCATGCGGGTTGCTCCTGGTACTTCTCTCATAGCAGAGTGGACCTTGGAGCAACCCCGTGGTTGTTGTGGTCTGCTTTGGCAGACCTGCCGTCGGGGCGTCGTAGTTGAATGCGTAAGCGATCCTGCGACGCCCCATTAAGACTTTGTTGGGTTTTAGTGGGTAGTACTGGCTTTGTCGGTGGGTGAGTCCCGCACCTCGTGCGTAAATGCATTTCCCAACGTTAAAAAAAAAGATTATAGGTAAATAGGGACCTACGCGATGTTTAAACTAAATTGTTAACGTGGAATCCATGTTCATATGTAAATGCCATAAAGTTATAATATGGTGATGCCACACGATATAACGATTGTGGAAGCAGATGAAGCGACCCATAAGAATGTTGAGTTATGGTCCAAGGAGTATGAATTGAGAGCTCAATTTTGGAAGGGTATTGTTATTTTTATATTTTAATTTAAAAAAAGATTTGTTATCTGTGCATAGCGATCAAAATGACCGGCCGGTTATAAATATTAAAAATAATGCGTATGTATGTGTATGCGCGTGTGTATCTTTGTTCGTTCATTTGGACTCATTTGATTCTTTTTATTCATCGAAATCTATCCAGCCGTTTCAGCGTGAAGAAGTAACAAACATACACTCATACAAACTTTCGTATTTATATTATAGACCTATTTATTTACAGAACGCGATAAACAACATGAGGCGGAAAAAAGGGCGTTACGTCACGAGTTGGAGTCAGAGAGACAAGGTCGACAGAAGCTACTGTCTTCTCAATACGAACTGCAAGAGCGTTTGGATTCAATACAGAGGTATATAATTTTTATATACTAGATCTCTCCCGTGACTCCGTTTATATGGCAGGTAGTTTGATAAATGGTATCCTATGTCTTAATCTAGGATATAAGCTATCCCAAATTCGAGTTCATGTTTCACTCAAATCGGCTTAGTTACAGTGCGATGAAGTGACGTACTTGAATTATTTAGGATTTCTAATATGTGATGGTAATAACCACAAAGCAGTAACGTGTAACTACTCGTGTACGAAAGGTTTTTTTTTATTAATAACATGTTCGATTAAGCCATTTATTTAAAAGTATTTTATTGTTGATATTTTTAAAAAAACCGCTCGACCGATTTCCATAAAATATAAATGGGATCCTTCGAAACAAAAAGAGAATTTTACAAATCAGTTCAGGCGTCTTCGAGTAATCAATGAACATACAAAAAAATATACATACAGACGAACATAGAACCTCCTTCTTTTTGGAAGTCGGTTAAAAATAGCCTATGTCCGTCTCCAAGATCCCATCTCTCTATACCAAAAATCGAAAAAAATGCTCCAGCGGTTAGGCGTGAAAACGCAACAGACGTACAGAGTTACTTTCGCATTTGTAATATAAGTTTGGATAAATTGAATGCGCTACTCCGATATTTCAATAAAACTATTATAGCTTCCATCCTACCAAAAATATAATATAAATATTATTTTCAGTAGGGGTCCCGGGTTTAAAGAGCACAGAAGGTCTCTGTCAGATGCTAGTACCAATTCCCAACAAGAAACCGCGGTTGAAGACGTAAGTGTTTGTGTTATTTCATATTGTTTTAATAATTATAATATCGTGCCAGCTTTTCTTAATCATGAAAGAGAAGGTTTCTTGAAGCAGTCTACAACAGTGTTCTTTTGACCGATGTTAGAAATGGTCGATCTAAATCAGTCAATATAGCCAACTGCATGAGAGATTAAATGCAATTTTCTTGATATTCCAGTTCATACAAAATCCTATAGAAAAAACCACTTAGTTTCTTTCCATTTTCCCATTTTTCCGGATTTACTTTCCTAAATTTTCCTCTAAATATAGACCATTATCAAAGATTAGTCAAGTCGATTTGACTGTTCTCAAATGAGGCTTTACTTCTTATCAACGAACAACTTCATTTTCTGGGGCCACGGCAGTTCCCCCGCCAAGTCGATTTTTATATATACATGAAACTATACATTTTATGTTTCAATATATTATATAGTATTGTGGCAATATATATATATATATACTATTTTACATTATTATCTATACAGGATTTCGGTTATGGCTCAGTGCGGTCTGTAGAGACGTCCCGTCCGGCGCTAGAAGCCGTCAACTGGTCTGCTGGCTCACACAATGGACCTATGCCGGTGAGATTTTTTATATATAAGTAGCTATAAATAACAAATACTTGCCTAACAAATCTCCTGAATCAATCAATTAATGTCAAACAGTCAATGAGTGATTGAATCAAAGATGGAAGTCGTATATACCTTAAGTAAAATAGTTATTTTTATTTATTTTTGTATACAATTTCATGGGTTTTAATTATTTTGCGGAAGACCATAATTTTTTTTCTAAAATTAAAGTAATCTAAGTTACTCATTATATCATCAACTATCTGCCAGTGAAAGTACCGTAAAAGTCGGTCAAGCCGCTTCGTAGATTAGCTGGAACTGTTTTCTTATAAGTACCATATATAATTTCATATGCATTTAGTAAAAAGCTATTATTTTGACAATACAAATAGACATTTTAATTTTCTTTATATGTATAGATAAGAGCTTAGTTGACTATCCAGTTATTGTGATCTAAAAAGTTAATAATTCCGAATTCGATTAAATCCGTAAAATCATTACAGGGTAAAGGAGTAACGAACAAACAAACATTCACACAAATTTTCGTATATATAATACTAGCTATTGTATTTCAGATGGCGGACGCGGGTCTCGTACTGCGAATGCAGAACAGGATATCAGTGTTGCAAGGCGAGCTGTCGCGCACTTCCAAACGAGCGGCCGATTTAGAAGAAAGGATCATGAGTTAGTGTCTTTATGTTTGTTACATTCATTGGTCTAGTAGTTAGCGTATACGATTCTAGATAGTTAGGTCCTAGGTTCCAGTCCCGGGTTGGGTGATTTCAAGAAATAATCAGTAGCTAACCGAAGTTGGAAAGTTGGTGGTGTTATGACCATAATGAGGTATAGTATTGCGTCTGTATTCTCATAGTGAGTGTTGAATTTGAGAGTGAAAGGGGCAGAGAGGGCTGGTGTATGTGCCCTCTCCTTCACATGCAGGTGAGGGAGAGCGCAGAATTCAAAGAAATCTGGAGGCCGTCGATTTAGAATAGGTTTTTTTAAAAAAATCATTACAAGGACATTTTTATAATATTTTCATAGTATATTGAATGTATAGTAGAATTGGACCCAGTTATGCAAAAAACAGCCATGTGCGTAAAAGTACCAACAGAGTTATAAGCATTTTATTATAAAAAATAAAATAATTATAAAAAATAAACAATACTCATATAAATATTGTTCAATTTTAAAATAACCCGAAAACAAAACATAACCCAAGTGCAACTATCGACAGAAAAATGCTTATAACTCTGTTGGTACTTTTACGCACATGGCTGTTTTTTGCAAAACTGGGTCCAATTTAGTAACAACTACAAGCTTTCGAGTTTGGGCTTATTTATTCGCTAATCGCTTTAACATTATATGTATATAATAATATACATAAGATAATTATAATTAATTATCTATAATGCTATCTCTAATACCTTTTATTTTTATATCTAACTAGCATATGCCGTGGCTCGGCCCGCGTTCAGATGACCAAAAACCAAATTCTTAGGTTTTACATTTTATTATACTCTTACAATGCAATTTTTGTATTTTTCCTCAGAAATGAGATATTTTCCCGCGGTAAAAAGTATCCTATATGTTGACCCAGATAACCAACTGTCACCATACCAAATTTCATGAAAAACCCTCCAGTGTTTTTTCCGTGATGCGGTAACAGACAGACAGACAGACAGACAAAAATTCTAAAACTATAGATTCCGCTTCTATATCGATAATAATGTCTATTTCAATAAGATTTTCCTAAAAATATTTAATGTACAGATTCGGCTTAGTTACAATTTTATTATATTGTATAGATTTCTTACAATATTTGTTACCCACAGACCGGCTTACATCGCCACCGTCGAATCCAGACTCCGATAGGTTCAAAGTGGAGGAACTGGAGATAGAAAATAAGAAGTTACGAGAACATCTAGAAAGACTTCGCGGTGCAGACACTACGCATATATCGAAGGAAATTGTTGGTAAGTTATACGTTTGTATATGCTAATATCATTTTATATTACCTAGACGACCTAGATTCGCTCGGCGTTTTTCGGAAAAGATTTTTTTAAATATACCTATACAGATAAGCTTAAAAAGCAAAACCTTATCTAGAATATGTAATGTTATGACGAAATTTTTAACTATCAGAAAGCCAGATACGGTTTAAAAAAACAACGATGGCATAAATGTGTCTGAAATGAGGTGTTTTTTTTTTATTTTTATGATCTAATAAGCATTTGTTTAATTAAAAAAAAATAGTATCATTAAAATCGACACAAATTCGCGAAGATACCGCATTACTATTAACATATTGAATAGCGTACCATCTTTTTTGAAAGTTTTAAGTGGACATAGAAGACGATTTATTATAGTATATGAAACAGTAAAAAATTAAAAATGTCGATTTCGATAAAATTTAAAAGTCATAAAATTTCCAAAATATTTTTTCTGATTAGAAATCTAATAAATTTTCTATTTGTCTAACAATAAAAAATATTAATTTTATTCCAAGGCTCCATTTTGTTGAATAATAATAAAATGTACACCAGGAACTTTGAAAAACCTCATCAATTTTCGTTCAGCAATTAATTTAAAGGATTGATTTTACAGTTAATGTTTTTGATTTAACAATATTATGTGAAGTTATGTATTTTCTATACAATATTTCTAATTTTATGCATGCGAAGTCGCGGAAAACAGTTAGTTGGTATATTTAAATATAGGCTTAAGTCGCTCAAGAAGAGGTCGCAAGTTCGATCTTGAGTCAAGCTTTAAGCTTAGGAATAATATTAACACAAATCAAACCCACTTCAAAATATCCCATAAAGCTACTAGTGACTTACCCTCGCTTCACTCGTGTCTTGAGTATTATTATATTTAGTATGCTTTAGTATATTTAAAGTAATATAAATAGTCAGCGCCACGTTTTGATTTTTGTTTATTGATATACAAAATTCAAGGTACAAATTAGCGTATCAAAAGTGTCTTCAAAAAAAAGTGCACAATTCAAAATTAGGCGCTTTTTCAATACTGTTTTGTTCATTGCTTTTCAGATGACAAAATTTAATAGTTATTTTTTTTAGTTTCACGTCAATCGTGTGAGAATTGCATACACACACACTTTTTTATTTATTTCATAAGAAGTATAGACAATTCATTAATGATATACATCATAAAATAACCTGAATGAAATATTTTCTCTGTTTTTGAAGTCGGTTTAAAAAAAATTCAAATCCGAGCCACATTTGGCGAATGTCTCGTAACACATGAATTGGAAGCTTCTTATTTGAAGTCGCTAAAATGCTTACAAATTATAATTGCTTTTCATTATATTTCGTAGCTTCATTCGTTGCGATTACAATTTACAATTTGTACCTACTACCTACCCCCACGCGTCAGCCATCCACGGATATTTAGAGAGCAGTCAAAATAATTTTTGACTACCCTCCACCAAGTTACCTCACTCCGGTATATGTCATCATACTTCATTCTACGTTTCCGTGTGGTAGTCATCGCACGTTTCAAAAATATTAAATAACACGTTATATTTAGTTCGAGTTTCAACGATTTATTTTCTACACGATGAGCAAAATTAAATCAAGAAGATCGAAGAGAAATAATGTATAGCATGAGCAACGAAGGAAGAGAATTGTCGCTGTATTATATCTTTAAGGAAGATTAGAGGGCACTAGGGCACGTGGCAGAACGCCGATGAGGTGGACAGACCAAGTGAGGGCTGCGGTGAGTGTTCCCTTACATGAGTGTACAAGGAAAGCAGCCGTTAGGGAGGAGTGGCGACGAATTGTCAGGTGTGCCACAGCGCTCAAGCGACGACCACGAGCACTCTGTCAAGAGTGTAACGACTCAGAAGGATTATTTCTTCAAGTTCGAACGACGAGAGCAAAATAAAATTCATGGCTACTACAAAATTGAGATGCGAACAACTATTAGGGTTGATTCTGTCACTATATAGTTTTGTAGCTACTTACAGAGAAAAGGCAGTGGTAACCCAGTGGTAACGTGCTCGCTTGGGAAACCGAGTGAAACGGGTTCACATCCCAGGTCCTGTGATATTTTCATGTGCGAATCATTTCTATCATTATTACCACTTGGTTTACGGTGAAAGAAAACATCGTGAGGTAACCTGCACGTCCGAGAGAACCCATTCGAAAGACATGTGAAGTCCATTAACCCGCGCTTGACCAGCGTGGTGGACTATGGCCCAATTCCCCTAGTATTCATGGGAGACCCATGCCCAGCCGTGGGACCTTAAAAAGGGCTGAATACATACATTACAGAGAACCGATACGATTATCATGCCTGTTACAAAGTTGTGATGCGAACAACCAGTAGGGTTGATTCTGTCACTATATTACTTTTAGCCACGTACAAAGAATCGATGTGAATAACCTGTGAGGATATATCTGTTGATATTTAATAAAAATTATGTAATATCTAATACATAGAAGATCTGTGCTATATCTTTTTTAATGAATGCGAATAAACTATGGTGTTTTATCTGTCGATATTTAACAATCTTTATAAAATATTATGCAAAAAAAGATCTGCATTAAATCTGAAATGATACATTTTTTTACAAAGTCGATGCGAATAACATGTGGGGTTATATCTTGCTATATTAATTAACCATGTACATCGACTGAGAACAGTAATGATAAGTACCTAGACGAAGATTTACTATCTCTTCTCGGTAGTGTAAAAAGTAGTCTAAAATAGTAAAAAAAAGTAGGTAGTCTAAAATCTAAGTTGTATTTGGCCCTGAAATATAAAGAAAGGCTTACAAGCAAGTAAAACAAAAAGTATAACTAATTAGTAATAAAGTTCGCTTCGTCGGGTTCGTCGCTAGATACGGTTTAAATAGATATAAATAGTTATTAGTCAGCATTAGCCATATAAATTTAATTTTTATTTTGTTAATAATATTGACATTAATATTTATACGATACTAACGTCACTTTTTTTAACGTTGGGAAATGCATTTACGCACGAGGTGTGGGACTCACCAGCGTAATGAAGCCAGTACTACCCACTAAAACCCAACAAAACCTTCCCCCGTCTTAATGGGGCGTCGCAGGATCGCTTACGCATTCAACTACGACGCCCCGACGGCAGGTGTGCCGAGGCAGACCACGACGACCATGGGGTTGCTCCAAGGTCCACTTTGCTATCAGAGAAGTACCAGGAGCAACCCGCATGGTACACCGCCCACCGAAGACGGCCACCTTTCACCGCCCACCGAAGTGGGCCACCTCCTTGTGCGTTTCTTGGCTTCGCGCCCGGCTGTATTGCCGGGCACTACTGAGCCCCCCAATAAGCCCAATATAATTATAAATATTTACATAATATGTATATCAATTCTAAAAATAATTTATTTTTCTAACTGAAGTTTCAGATTCGATTGTTAAATATGGAACTAACAATTCCTATAGTTCAACATTATTTTAGATTTAAAAAAATCTACTTATTAAAAATGAGATAGGATGAAACTTTTATAAAAAGTGTGTTTAGATCTATGTATAGATCTTCAAAGCTCTTGATCTAGAATCTTTATCGAAAAAGATTGTGACTCCTATGGCACTTGTTAATGTGCATAGAGTGCAAACTTTTAATCAATGAAATTAAATATATTAAAATTGAATCATGATATAAATAGTCATTGCAAGCACCGACACAATTATTAAAACCGTTTAAAATTAATTCATTACATCCTATTTTATTCATTTAATCATAATATCTGTCTTGCCAGATCTTTATGCTCATGTAGAGAATACTACGTATTTTTAAAAGAGTGATGAAATTTATTCATCGGTTTTATAAAACCATAGGGTATCATATTCATTGAATACTTTGGTAGCCATTACGGCGTGCAGCAGCTCTTTACTGATGCTAAAGAGCTTGCTTGCTTGAGAGATGCTTCTAATTTTATTTCGCTATTTCTCTAACTCTAAACAGCTACAAATTGTAAATTAAATCGCAAAGAAAGAAGCTGCGAAATATAATTTATGATTAAACGAACTTACCTGTACGTGAAGTTCAATCATAATTATATGAGCAGCTTCATTCGAAGCGATTTACATCCCGCCCAGGTTTATAAACCCAACCCTTTTAGAATAGCGAAATAAAAATATATCGTTCAACTTTAAACATAATGAATTATGATGACATATACCGGAGTGACGTAACTTGGTGGAGGGTAGTCAAAAATTATTTTGACTGCTCTCTAAATATCCGTGGATGGCTGACGCGTGGGGGTACAAATTGTAAATTAAATCGCAACGAATGAAGCTGCTCATATAATTATGATTGAACTTCGCGTACAGGTAAGTTCGTTTAATCATAAATTATAGAATATAAATAAACGTAGAATATGGCTTAGTGTCTAATGTGAAAATAACTTCGATGATGTTAGTACATTGTCTAACTAAAACAATCTTCAATTCATTATATGTGAATTACATATTACTCGTGCAGATAAAGAATGGGACTAGAAATATAGGTAACAGAACATAACCATTTTTGGTTCCCGACGTTTCGAATGCTTTACACCAATCATGGTCACGGGAGAGACCAAGGTTTTAAACATCTCAAAGGTAATTCTTGGATTCATTTTGTTAATATATGGGTAGGCTGACTGTAACAACTATATAATGCTTCTGAGATGTCTAAAACCGTCTCTCCCGTGACGTGATGCTAATATAAGCAATTTATAGAATGCTATATGAATGTTCATATTTTTTTTCGTAATGGCTTAGAATTACGTTACAGATATAATACATTCTGCCAGTGTCACGTATTGTGAGGAAGACACGAATGAATTTGATCGATAATTTTGAAATTTTAAAACTACGAAAGAATGGTCGGTCAATTTTAATTCTTATTACAACATGCATATATAACGTCAATATAACATTTTTATTGTCACAGTGTTGGGACGAAAAGTAAATAGCCATTTATAATCCTATTCTTTATATGCACGAAGTACACATATTTATTTTATTTTATGAAAATGATTTATGCAATACTTATAACACCTTTTTAGAACTGAAGCGTACTAAAAAAAGTCACTTATAGATAGATACATTTCAATAGAAAGTACACTGGCAATTGTTTTCATGAACAGCTTTGTTCATTAGCTTTTTACATACAGACGTACATATTTAATTTACATTAATGTAATTATATTATAATAATATTTTTGTTACGTTTTAGAACAATTGGCGGCCATGCAGAAGGAATTGGATAGGCGACGCGATGAATGTGTACAGTTAAAGAGTGTTCTTACACACCAGGTTAGTGTTTTATACGTTTATTATAAAAAAAAATTAAATAGTTTTTTTAAATGTTTCATAGACTTTTATGGTGTTGTTAAAATGATATAACCTTTTTGTTATTTGGATTTACATAAAAAAACATATTGAGTATTTTATATTATATAAATAATTTAAAATTATAGTAACAAAAAAATATATATGTTACTAGCATTGCCCGCGGCTCCGCCCGCGTTCAGATGACTAATAACAAATTCTTGGATTTTACAGATTACATTGCATTTTTTCTCAGAAATGAAATATTTCCCCGCGGTAAAAAGTATCCTATATGTTGACCCGGATAACCAGCTATCACCATACCAAATTTCATCAAAATCCCTCCAGCGGTTTTTCTGTGATGCGGTAACAGACAGACAGATAGACAAAAATTCTAAGAATTCTAGATTCGGCTTCTGTATTGATAGTAATGTTTATTTCAATAAGATTTTTCAAGAAATATTTAATGTACAGATTCGACTTAGTTACAATTTTATTATATATATATATATATATATATATATATATATATATATATATATTCATTTGTGTTTGTTCAAGAGTAATTTGTTATTTATATGTTTTTTTTTTCTATAAAAAGGGAGAGACAGAGAGAGAGAATTGGTAGATGTTTATTAAAAAAATATTTGTTTTTTTTTGTAATAATAGGTCTATAATCCCATGAGAATTATTTAATAATTATACTTACGTATGTATGGTCAACATTAAATTATTATTTTTTCCACAAAAATAAAAAATCGAATTATCAAAGTATGATCAATTAATATTATTTTTTTAAGTCGGTTAAGTTCTTCATATAAAAATGTAGAACTAAAGTAAATATTCCGCGTTTTCGTTGTTTACATTGTCATATTAATGTCACTCCAGTGATAAAAAAACTATGACAAACCGCGTTTAGTTCACTCTCGCTTATCTCAGACATATCTGATATGAAGATATCTATATTTTGTTACACAAAAAGTATTGTCTAAACACTCGGATGTGTGTTATTTTTTTAATTTTTGTCTTAGTCTAATTTGAAAATTTAAATTTCTATTTTTTTTTGTTTTTTTTTGATTGCCTTGATTATTTTTTTTTTCGTATAATATTTATTTATTGTATTGATTGATTTATATATTGTATTGATTTATTGAAAATAATTTTATGTGTTTAACTTTAGGTGTTTTGGTTATATTTAAAATGAAAAATTAAAATTAAAAGCTTTCTCTAAAGAGTGTCCATCTGAATGATGACAAACAGATAACTTTGCAAACATTGTTATTATTAGTTTTCTTTATCTTAAATCCAAACATTTATTATGAAAATATGAGGACACGTTAGTTCTCGGACTTAAGCGTGAGTGATGTGATGATGTGAAAAAATAACAATTTAATACTTTTTTACGTATTATTAAGTTGGGACAACGCAATCATTGTCTTATAACTACATGGTTTATTTAAAAATAACATACTATCAGTGTCAATAAAAAATTAACCTAGCCTTATTTTGTATTGTGAAATGTAAACAATGGATAAAATAATACCAAATGGTATTTTTATAAAGACGCTTTTACCGGATATGCCCAAAAAGACCGTATTTCATGTTAAGAATAAAAAGAAATTAAATGTAGGTACTCTATTTGCTTACTGTAAGATTATTGAGGGAAAATATGCATTTTTAGGTATTACATTGTATACAGATAACAATAAAAAAAATATAACTTTTGCGCAGAAACCATGGTTCCAAGCATTGAAGAGCGTCGTGAGTAGTAAAATAGTGTCGATGTGTCATAACAAGCTTAAAATCATAAAACCTCCCATATAATTGTTTTTATTTATGTAAGAAGATTATTATTTTTTACACGAAAAAAAAATACATTTTTTCATATTTCGAAGCAAAAATGTACAACTTAGATAGTAAATTTAATAGTGTTTTAGAAATAACCGTTCAATTATTGTACCAATATTTTTTTTTTTTTGCATTTTTAATGATTTTTTTTAAAAATATACGGGTTTAACTTTTTTTTCTATATTTAGACTAATTTAGATTTATTTTTTTCAACGCTTCCCTTTGCTGTCACTGCATGGTATAATTTTTTTTTTCTTTTTGCGTTATTTTTCAAAAAAAAACTGAGTATATACGTCCGATTTTTGTCAGAATATGATAATCAATTATTTAATCTTAACATTACCTTCAAATTGATATATACCTTTGTTAATTATTTTATTTTCAACGCAAATGGGATGTATATACTTTTGTGTTATATACTTGTATATGTTATTAGTTTTTAATTCAAATCCTGTGTCTATAGACGGTGAATCTAAAGTCCCTTGCAACATCAAACTACGGTTCCGATGTGGATATTATAAATGAAGATGGCGAATTAGCAACAGCTTATCAAGCGCAGAAGGGAATTAATAGGTATGATATACAATTTTTTTTATAAATCATTTTTTCCATATCCAAAAAAGAAAAAAAAACATTTTTATTGTTACGGAATGGACTTCAAAATGAAACGAAATTAAAGGATTACTTTGTTTGTCCATAGGAAGTCAACTCAATTAATTTTTTTTCGTGTATATTACACGATATTTTTGCCAATTGTGAACTATTTTTTATAATACTTTAAACGTGAAATGAAGTTTAAACTTCAACGATCTCATAAATTTCGAAGAAATTCCATCCTTTAAGGTGGAAGTTACGTTTTGTTCAATTAAATTATCACATAATATATTTACTTTGTTAGACAATTGCAAGAAGAGCTCGTAGCTGAGAAGAAGTTCTACTCCGAACACATAGCCAAATCGAAGCAAGAGATAGATCGTCTCAGAGATGAGAATGAGAAGTATCAGAAGTGAGTTGCTTTTTTATTATCTATACTCTATTAAATTATCTAAGAATATTAAGAAAATCTCATTCAATCATTCATTTCATTCATTCAATCATTGAAAAAAAAGCAAGCCTTTAAGATAAATATTAATTTGTTATTAATTTAAGTTTACAGTTAGCAAAAATCTTTTTTATCTGAAGCTGTATTTTTTTTATATTTTTAAATAATGTGCCTTTACACAATTTAAAAGATACTCGTTTAATCTAGTTATTTAAGCAAAAGAACATATTATACGTTATTCTTTTCCAGCCCCGAAGATATAGAAAATTCATCACAATCTAGAAGATATTGGGGCGGTTTTAATTTAACAGGCGATACTTTAAAGACAATATTCTATAATGACAACATTTTTATTAACATCTCATTGGCCATTTTTAATGTTTTGTCAATTTAGTTGATTTCTTACGGTTTCATTTTACCTGGACGACTGACTGTTAGACTTTGTGTAAAATAAATATTTATGAAGTAATGAGACTTTCGCTTTAATATATCCTATGAAACACAGTTTGCTCTTCGCATTAAACTTACGATCTCATAGGTCTTGTGGTTAGTTGGTTGTGAATTAAGAGGTCCGGAGTTCGATTCCAAATTTGTAGAGTACTGATTCTTCGGGCGTGTGTTGATTTTCGATTACACTGGGCTTTAAGGGCGAAAGGAATAGAGAATGCGCGTGTGTAAACACATAGTTTGATATAGTACATTTGATCAAATATCTGTTATATGGGACCATGACCAAACACATACTGCTAATCTGATTAACAAAAATTAAAATAATAGTTGCTTCTAGTATCTATTTTTTCATATCATCCAGTCTGCCACTTTTATTTTGGTCATTGTAACCATGTATCACAGTTTATTCATCAAATATTGTTTCCAATTGAAAGTAACGTTTAGAAATGCTGGTATAATCATAAAGGCTGATTCATGTTTATTAATATAATAACGTTTAACCACACGTCAACATACAACCAATCGTTTTACCAACAACATCATAGTAGTGTAATCATTAATAAATACCATATCATCGTAACCATCACTGGCATACTGAAACCATCGACGATATTTATTTATATTATGTCAGTGTAACCATTGGCAACATATCAGTGTCATTATTAAAGATATATCAGTATAACCATAAATAGAATGAAAATGTAACCAATAACGGCATACCGGGGAAACAAATTATTATAAATTCATATAGTTACTTATATTTATCAGGGTAACCATCAATGACATATAAATGTAACCGTTTACAACATGCAAAGGTAGCCACTAGCGACATCAATACAACTATCAACTGCATAACCATTTCTGCACGTCAATCTATCCATCAACGACATTTCAATGAAACCATCAATGGCATATCGATGTAACCATTTATGACATGTAATTGTAACCATAATGACATATCAATTTAACCATTTACAACATATCAATGTAACCCTCAAAGGCATATTGATGTAATTATTTACAACATGTCATGTAACTATCAACAGCATATCAACAATAAATCAAAATTAACTATGGTAACATACATACAGCTATATATATACAGCTTGTCAATGACATGTCGATGTAAATATCTAAAAATGTCTTGATGAAGTCTAATATTTCCTCAGCTAAAAACCGTTTCAAATTGTTAAGAGAAAAAAAAGGGGAAAAATACATCTAATAAAGTTATTCTAACAATAACAGTTTTTCTTTAATTTATTTATTAGTTAATTTGAAAAAGAAAATATCTATTAAAGGTTGCTGAGTGCAGATTTGAGTCAGGAACCCAAAAATAAGAGCCAAGAATTCGCCCAGAATGAGATTATCAGATTGGCATCAGAAAATCTTGCTATTCAGGTAATTAATAATAAAATTATTTTTGGCAAGTATTTTTATATGGTAAGTATTAACAATACTTTTTCCTAAGTGGTCAAATTAAGAATGGTTAAAATTAATATTTTATAGATCTATGTATATTGTATTTAAACGAATTTTAATTTAAAAAAAGAAAGTCTTGATAGTACATATAGATGAAAATACCTTAAAGAAAGAAAAGTCAATTTAAAGAAATATCTAGTTGAGTAATATTTTGTCACCAGTAATCTTCCCTTGATCCACTGAGGTGCGTCCCTAGGTATCTAACAGTAGCCTATGCGTTACTCCTTGTGATATGTGATAGTCTATCTGTATATTGAAATTCATCCATTCCGTCTAGCAGTTTCAGAATGAAAAAATTACTGACACACGCCCACACATACACAAACACGCACACACAAACTTTCACGTTTATAATAATAGTCCGATTGAGGAAGCCAAGCCCAAACAAGCTATTTATCTATTTAAAAAAATAACTTTACATGAAGATAATTTTATATTCTTGGGAAATTTCAGAATAAAAGATTGTGCCTTTGGAGGGTTTATTAAAATGTAGTATATTTTTTATTATAATTGTCATATTTACCATTTTCAGGAACGTATTGACAAATTGTCAGAGAGTTGTCGAAGGTATAAGAATCAAATCAGGTTACTAGTGAATAAACTGAAGGAAGTAGGAGTTGAGGATGTACAGGATATTCTTGAAGGCAATGGTACAGTATATATATATATATTTTTTTAAATATTTGTCGACTTTAAGATCATAATTTTAGTGATCGTTCCACTTTTAAGTTACATGTTACTAGCGGCTCACCTTCGCTTCGCTCGATTTCGCCTCTAGGAAGAGAAAAATAAACCTATCCCACGGGAACCGTATATTTTTCCGGGATAAAAAGTCGTCTATGTTGTTATTCTAGACTATAATCTATCTCTGTGCCAAATTTCATCCAGATCCGTTCAGCCGTTCACAAACATATTCACAAACTTTCACATTTATAATATTATTAATACAGTTTTTCCAAAAAGAATCATGTAAGTAGGTTACTATACCCAAATAGCTGATATTATTAAGAGTAACATATGCTAGTTTTATCGAAGAAAAAGAATTAGGGTTCCGCGCAAAAAAACCAATGAAATTGTTAGCAAATGTAGCTTTTTAAGTAGTTATAAAGCAATAATTATTTTACAGAAACAATCGTGTCACAGAACATTTCAACAGCTTTAGAGATAACACCGGTGATGCGTAAGAAGGAAAGAGAGTACTTGGGCATGTTTGAATATAAGCTGCAAGATGAGGGGACCATTATAAAGAAACTCGTCACTGGTTTGTATAGTTATATGTAAAAAAAATATTTAAAGCTTTTTAGTTTCGGACAGTGAGATATTTTTAGTGTAAGCGAATATTTGACACTAAAATAGGGATGAAAATTTGATTCCGCATACAAACTTTCATCCCCATTTTCACCCCCTTAAGGGATGATTTCTGGGATAAAAAGTATCCTATGTCCTTTCCAGGGTCTCAAACTGTCTTCTTACCAAATTTCATCTAAATTGATTCAGTAGATCCATAGATTACCGGGGCTACAACGTCACAAACGCACAAGCTTTACCTCTTTATAATATTAGTATAGAAGTATAGATTTCAAATAAAACTATCTTATCGGATTTTTTCGCAGATTTATTTTGATTTTTTTGAGTTTATAATTCAGACAAAGTTTATTTATTAACTTCTGGTATTATTATCGTATTTATCTATTTTTACCTGTTTCTGTACTAAAGTTTGAATATATCTTTATTTCAGATCTAAAACCCCGTGTAGCAATAACCCTGCTCCCGGGTTTGCCTGCCTACATACTGTTCATGATGCTGCGCCATACCGACCACGTGGACGATGAGCCCAAGATGCACCAGCTCATGAAGGCGATACGTACTGGAGTCAAGAAGACTCTCAAACGGAGAGCAGAGAGTGTTGAGTATAGTGCTCTCTGGTTGTCTAATATGCTCAGGTTAGTTTTGTATGGTTTTGTATTAATATTGTATGAAAAATGATTTTTTTGATATATTTGAATTTTGTGGTTTTTGTTGTTGCCATTGCTGCTAATAAAAACATATTTAATTTGGACCCTGTGAATCGATTTTGTAACTGTGAATAATAATGTCTTAGGCTTACGCGAATATTTGTTTTTTAAGTAAACAGTAATTTTATTCGACTTTTTCAATAAATTTTTTACAGAGAGGGACAGACTAAGTTTTTGACGTTAAAAAATCATTGTTATAACAGACAATGTCTACCCACAAAATTAAATTATAATTTAGGAAAAAAAAACAAAAGAAAACTGGTTAAAACCCCACAGATTGTCAACATTTGGCTTGACAACACGTTTGGCTCAGTTTGTAGTGACCCTACTTGCTGTGCCAGCGGACGCGGGTTCGAGTCCCGCTGTGGGCGTGCATTTGTGTGATGAGCACGAATGTTTGTATTCCAGTCATGGGTGCTTATATTTATGATATGTACATATGTATCTAAACTTATATATGTGTAGTGTATCAACCATCTGGTATCCATAACACAAGCCTCGTAGCTTACCATGGAACTAGACGGTGATGTGTGATAATGTCCCAACATATTTATTTATTTCTATTTATTCACAGACTACTAAACAACCTCCGCCAGTACAGCGGCGATGCTATCTACCAAGCAGGCAACACGCCGCGACAAAACCAGCAAAGTTTGAGAATATTTGACCTGTCCGAGTATAGACAAGTACTCAGCGATATCGCCATTTGGATATATCAAGGTGGTTTAATAAAAAGAAATGGCTTGTTTTTTTTAACAACCTTTTATTTAATTTGCAATGTTTGTATGTATGTTCGGGTCGAACCTTGCAACTGATTTTTTTTATTGCGTTGTTGCATACACGTTTAGTATTGATGTAACGAATGTCAATTTTTAAGCATTTGCTAATGCCAATGCGAATGCGAATAACTGCTGCCGATATTCTCGAATGCGAATGCGAATTTTTAGTTTTTAAATCTGGTGCCATTTCTATGCCTAAATTTTGAAAGCTAACTAAGCCATTGCCAAGGCCGCGCCGACCATCGGTAGCGGCTGTATGCGAAACCTATGAAGCGCCTGTTTTTTTACTCGTGTTTTGCATGAAAAATACATTTTTGAAGTAAACGTTCTATAGAATCGTTGTGATTTAAAACTCGATGAAACGGAAATGCGACACGAGAAAGAGATCGCCTCTCATGTCTCATCACATAAATATATAGTATTAAGTTGGCGAGAGAATTAGATAGATACATTACATAGGAAGTGAAATATAATAAAAATAATATTGAATAATATGTAATGTATCTTAAATAAAATGAAAAATAACTTTAATATTGGTAAAAATATTCTTTAAAAAAAACACATAATTATTCTCCTACTCCTGATACATCATATTTATCTCATTCTCTCGTAAGTTACTGTTCTGAAGTTTCACTTCTGCCATGTGTGAATTGCACACATGTTTATTTTTTTCCTTCAAAATTTGCCGGAAATATGTTCAGTAATCTTATATTGTTTTCACAAATAAATAAAAAAACGGTTCACTTCCGCTTGGCAATTATTGCGAAAAATAAAACGCGAATTAAATTATTTACATTTTATTTTTTGTTTTACATTATCTTAATTTAATCCTTAATCACCCACAAGTGTGTTGTGGACACGCCTTCACGACTTCCTATTACGTATAATACCTAGTTTTTATTTCTGCGAAAAGCCATTTTATCTAATCAATGCGAATGTCAAGAAACATGCGATTTTTTACAAATGTTTATGCGAATGCGAGTATTCATAGTTAGTTAAAAGCGCCATTATAAATCCGATATAGCAGACTCCCAAAGATGGCGGACTTTGTTTTTTATTCTATGATATGGATATCAAATAAAAAGGTTTTCTGAAAAGAGTATGAATAAAATAAAAACTAAAAAAAATAAAAAATAAATTAATAGTAAAAAAAAACATTTTTAAAAAGAAGCTCCTTTTCTTCTTATACTAAAAAGAAGTACTTTTTAAAGCATTTAAATAATAGCTTGTTGTTTTTAAAAACGTTTTTTTTTACTATTTTTTTTTGGTGTGTGTTTCGCGATATCTTTGTCAGTGATTGCCTCTTTGATCTAGAATCTAGATGCATGGATCTAGATGCTAGGTAGTATATAGATTTGAAGGTCTTGGGTTCGAGCCCCAGGTCGGGTTGAGTATAGTTAATAGTTTTTTTACTAAAAAAAAGAAGCCTAGTAGCGCATAATCTATTACGGTGATATGAAAGTGATCTCTTACCGAACTCTGAGAGTGAAAGGAATAGAGAAAGCACGTTGTGTTTATAATAACTTCTGCGAAGTTGGCTAGTTTCAGTGAGATTGGCTCACGTTATTTTTGAAAGTAAAACTTTTAAAATACTTTTGATTTAAGTTGTAATATCGTTTCTGTATATGACCAGTGGGTGCCACTGGCGAGTGAGGTCCTGTCGTGGTCGTAAAAAAAGTATTAGTGCGGCAGGGACATAAATTTTAAAATAATAATATTAATTGTTAGCGCGGCACCAGTTTATCAGGATTTTGTTTAAAATAACTAATATATAATTACCAAATAGATAAGATATTGACATTTTCTTAGCTCTTCTTTTAAAGTAATAACATTTACTGAACCGTACCGTGTCTGCTATAATTAATCAAGAATTTCTCAATGCTTACAATAATCATGAATAATTAATGAAGATCGATGAAAAGCTGCTCGCAAAGAATAAACATTCAGTGCCATTTGAAATTTGTAAAGACCTCACTCTACACTACCGCCTCTCGCGGCGAATTTAAGCGCCCTAAATGCGTGCGACAGTAAAGAAACATATTAATAATATGCCATTCCTTTATCTCAGGTCTCATCAACCTGCTGGAACGACAACTGGAACGTCTTATAATGCCAGCAATCCTGGAATACGAGGAGATCAGCGGTCTGTCGGGCCCCCCGAGGGTGGCTCCATCGCCGCCCTCCGCCGGCCCCGCGCGACTCAAGCACGAACTAGCGACCACGCACGACCATCTCAAAGTGCACGCGGTGGACCCCGCGCTACGTGTTGTTATATTTAGACAGGTGGGTTTTACTTTTTGGTCCTTGAGGTCCATGAGACCTCGAAGTAACCTTCCTTTAGATTGGTATCTTTAGTTAAGTGGGTTTTTGTTACTTGGGGTCCATGAGACCTAGAACTTACAAGCAACCCTTCGCTAGATTGATATATTTAGATAGGTGGGTTTTAATTCATTGGGGTATATAAGACCGCGACTCTTCATTCGGTTATTTTAAGTCCATGAGACCTCGCAATAAGTCTGTTTACGGGTTGTTGTATTTAAACAGGTGGGTTTTTATTCTTTTGAGTCCATAAGACGTCGAAGTAACTGAGTAACGGGTTATTATATTTAGACAGATAGATCAATGTTCCTTGATTTCTGCACGACCCAGACTTTTGCGTTACGGATTCTTATATTTACTCAGGTGGGTTTATGCAAAAATAAGTGATAGGCAATTTTTTTTAAAGCAAGAAAAAAAGTTGTTACTTGGTTTCATAAGACCTAGAAACATGTAGAGTCATAAATGGTGAATGTTATGTTTCCGTTTGTTAAATATCAATATAGAGGCATGTTTATCAAAAAAATTATTACTATCCACCCTAAGACCTTTTATCAAAGACCAAATAAACCCTTAGTCTATTGGATCAGCGCCTATTAATAGCACTATGATACATTATACTTAAATAATTGTAGAAAATAACAAAGAAAACGAGTATCGGTTTTCTGGGTACATTAGGCCTTCAAAATGATCCTGTTTTTGAGATTTAATATCAAAGAGCTTATATAATTTATTCACTAATCTTTCTCGGGCCATCATCAGGCCATATGGATAGAATATAATTATATTGGCGTCTACATACTACATATGTATACATATAATTAAATTGTAACTAAGCCGAATCTGTACATTAAATATTTTTTGGAAAATCTTATTGAAATAGACATTATTATCAATACAGAGGCCGAATCTATAGTTTTTAGAATTTTTGTCTGTCTGTCTGTCTGTCTGTCTGTCTGTGACCGCATCACGGAAAACCCACTGGCGGGATTTTGATGAACGGGAAAACATCTCATCTCTGAGAAATCTATACCAAACGTTAAAACGTGAGTAGGGACGAACCCGAGCGGCGACGAGACGGTAGAGTTACTATACATAATCACTGTTTGAACACGCTTTTATTAATCGTGTAACTATGTACTCGTAATTAAATCTTGCGAATAGTTTTAAAAGGGTTTATCCGGATAAGTATAGCGAACCGGTCCCCTATGGCAGCCTATATCGAAACTTATGTGTCAATAAAGTTGATGTAGAAAAGCGATTCATATGAAATTTACTGTTGTACTCCGCTTTGACCTTGACATATGAAGAAAAATAAGCGTAACTATGAGTTTCATTCAAAAGAGCATATCTCGGAAATCTTCAAAATTAGAAACTTAAAACTAGCGCGAGGTTTTAGGTAACCTTTGAGACCTTATTATATATTTTTTGGAATTGTTCATGTGTGAGTTCGACTCGCACTTGACGGGTTTTTTAAACTATAATATTTATTTAATAATTTAAACGTATGTCTGTTTCAGCTATTCTACTACATATGCGCATACAGTTTGAACCAACTTCTTCTACGCAAGGACCTCTGCTGTTGGGCAAAAGGGTTGCAGATTCGATACAATATATCTCACTTGGAAACGTGGATCAAGGAGCATTTGGCTGAATATGGACAAAAGAGTGTAAGTTTTGCTAAATGGTCACCCATTCATATGGGAGCCGCTTTAAGTGGTTCAACTTGTTTGGAACTTTATTTTAAAGTGAATAAATTGAATTATAGAATGCGTTGTGATATTAGATTCTATATACATAATATTTTTGTTTGTTTGTTTGAACAGTCAGATATTTGACAAATTATTGACTTATAAATACGTGTGTAATTAATTTCTTATGCATGCTTGGTAAACTTCAAATTTTACCGTTTATATTCAGCAATTTTTAACATCCCACTGCTGGGGATTGGCCTCCCTTCAATAGTCCACGACGCTGGCCATGTGCAGGCGGATTTGAGCATGTCTTGCAAACTTGCTAGATTTCTCAGACATGCAGGTCTCCTCACGATGTTTTCCTTCACCGTAAGACAAGTGGTAATCATATAATTAGAAATGATTCGCAAATGAGAATATCAGAGGTGCCAAACCAGGGATTTGAACCCGCTTCACTCGGTTTTCCAAACGAGCGCGTTACCACTTGGCTACCACTGCCATCCCGGAGTTTTCTAACAATATGTTTTTAGATAGTTTGAAATATAAAACCCATTTTTCCCCCAGATGGAAGAGATCCTGAGCGTGCTAAAGCCAATAACTCAAGCAGTCCAACTTCTGCAAGCGCGCAAGTCGATGGCGGACGTCAACAGTACGGTGGAGATGTGCGCGGACCTTTCCGCCATGCAGGTTTGCAAGGTGAGTGACAAGTTCGAGTCCCGGGAAGGGTAGTTGGGTTTTATTTATTTACTAGCGACTCACCCACGCTGCGCAAGCAATTTCATGCGTTTTTTTTTTCATTTCTTTTGCGTCAAACCCCTAATTCTTTTTCGAAAATAAAAGTAGCCTAAGTTACTGATTATAATATCAGCGAAAGTATCGTCAAAATTGGTCCAGCCGTTTCGGAGATTAGCTGGAATAAACAGACAGACAGACATAATTTTTTTTAATTTGTTTTTTTCTTATAAGTACCATATATACTTTAATAAACATTTATTATAAAGCAGTTAATTTGAAATTGCGTGACCAGGTGAAATAAAGATTGATTTTTATATGTATAATATTAAAGCACTAATATAATTCTACTCTCCTTCCAAACGCTCAGATACTCAACATGTACACTCCAGCTGAAGAGTACGAAGTGAAAGTGACGCGCGAGTTCATACACGAGATACAGAAGCTGATGCAGGAGAGGGCTGGACCGAATGCTACTAAGGAGCCGGTAAATGGATATTCATTTGCTACATTCTCTATTAAGTGTAAAAATAAAATAAATGAATATTATATTTATATTATTTTTAACTAGCGGCTCACCCTTCGCTCGGGTTCGCCTATAGAAAAACAAAAGCAAATCTATCCCACGGGAACCGTACTTTTTTCTTGGATAAAAACTAGCCTATGTGCTATTCCAGACTATAATCTATCTCTGAGTTAAATTTCATCCAGATCCGTTCAGACGTTTTGGGCGCGATTGAGTAACAAACATACATCCAAACATCTAAACTTTCACATTTATAATATTAGTATGAAAGCAAGCAAAGAAAAATTTTAGGTAAATTTCATTATAATGTAATATAATAAAAATATAACGTTTGTCATAATAATATGCCGAATAATAATCAATAATATATGAAAGAATTTTCAGAATCGGATCAGTATTTCCCCCATATATCACTCCCTACAACTATAACAACAAAACTTACAAACGTTATTGTAATAATGTAGACTTTCTGTTTAAACTTAAAATACTAGCAAATGATTTGTTTTTCTTTTTTTTTATTATTAAGCATTACATAGACACGACATTGGTTTGAAGACACGTTTGGCTCAGTTTGTAGTAACCCCACTTGCTGTGTCAGCGGTCGCGGGTGAGAATCTCGCTGGGGACATTTATTTGTGTGATGAGCACGAATGTTTGTACACCAGTCGTGGGTGTTTATATTTATAATTATAATGTATGTAATTAAAATTATATATGTGTAGTGAATTACGTTTGCAGCAGTCAGGAGGTCGAAAAAACCGAATAATTAATAATAATTTATTAATTTTACATTAATACAATAATTATATATCTTAAAACTAACGACTTCTTTACTCGAAGTATGAATAAAGAGTGATTGGAAAAGTATTTCAATTAATAAAATTACTAAATTAAAACAATGCGGCATTACAAAACTTATTCGGGGAACTCGGCGGTGGTCGCCTGGGAAACGTACATTTATTTTATATGTCAGCATATTCGTGGGATTAGGGTTCCTTAACTAGTGTATCAACTATCTGGTATCCATAACACAAGCCTGGTAGCTTACCATAGAACTAGATGGTGCCGTGTGTTAATGTCCCAACATATTTATTTTATATTTATTTATACATTTTTTTTATTCACAGCAAAGCCTCCTAATGGACACCAAAATGATATACGCAGTGCAGTTCAACTACAGTCCATCCGCTATTCGCTTGGAAGACATAGAAGTGCCAGAAGTACTGGAATTGGATGGCCTTCTCACGAAAATATAGGCGATGATGGTAATCTATTCATTTTTTGTCACTTTTGTTCCTTTTTTAGCCTATGGTTTTTTAAGAAAGGCATTTTTTTTTCATATATTTTTTTGGTCAAAGATGATCGAATAATTAGTATTTTATTTTATGATTTTTTTTGTACAAGGTATAATTATTTTTTTTATTCTATAGTTTATAGAAGTAAATAGAAGATAGAAGTGCCAGAATAAATGAAACTGGAAGATCTTCCTTCATGAAACTTAAGTATTTTTATCGTTTATTTACTTATAGGTACTTGTATTAGTTGAACCGATTCACATATTTTTGTTTGAAAAAGATCTAGAAGATTTTTTTTTATTTATCATCGAGTCTTATGAAGATATTGTTTTATTTAAGTAGACATCAAATAGGTTTAATTCTTTGATTGTAATTTTTTTTCCTATTCATAGAAGATGTAAAAGTTATGAAAAACCTAACTTACATAAGTAAGTTTTCAACTGTTTTGTTAACCTTTTATTTTTCCATATAATTTTACATTAATATTAATAATGACGTAAAAACTTAACGTAACCGTTCCGCTAATATGTATTTAAAACTAACGAATTAAAAAAAATTGTTTCTAAATCAAACATTCCATGTCAGTTTGCATTTGTTTTTTTTTTTAATTTAAAGTACTGAACGCCATATTCTTAACATATAATTACTATGTAGTGCCATCTTTTCTTAAAAATCGGTTAAAACACGTCCTTTCTATACTATTTGCTCATTTGTGCTCATATTTTAAAATATATTTATTTTTTATATGGACGTGTCCATGTTTACTGTTTAGTCATGTCCATAATAATCTTTATTGCATCTTAAATATTGCATGAGAAAGTTACTAAGTTACTTTCATGATTCGTAAATAATAATAAAATTATAATTGTTATTAAATAAAGAATAACTTAACTAACCAATTTCAAAAAAAAAGTGTAGATGAATTTTTTATTTTCAATACAATTTAAATCAAATGTTCTTTCAATTTCTCTCTTTCAACTTTGTACTATTAAGGATTGTTAACACTTAAAAATATTTACCCATATCTGTAATCTTTATAATCGATAAATATATAATTATTGTTTTGCGTCAATTTCTTGATAGACCATGTCCATATTTATCTTTTCCAAACAATAAAAGATAACAAAATGATATCAAGATATGGATAAGTCAATGTCAAAACGATTCATAAAAAATCATTTGTTTTATCTCTTCATATAAGTATATATTTAATTAAAGTAGGCAAATAATAAGGAGATATACGAATCTATATATATATTTAATTTATTAAAAGTATGATTAATATGAGAAAAATATTTAAAAAAAAATAGTTATTTGTATACTTCAAAATTACACATATTATATATTGTCCAGTATATTTTATTACTATTCTATTACTGACATATATCTGAAAAGTGTCCTCAAAAAGAAGCGTACAATTCGAAATTGAATTGCGCTTTTACCAAATCTCTTGTTTATTGCTTTTATTCTTTGGTTTGACTTAACGTCACATGTCGACGCCGCTCTTTGAAGAGATATTTGTTAGCGAATCTGTATCCAATATCTATGTTTTTATATATCAATGTATTATATATATATATATATATAAATATATAAATATATATATATATATATAATACATTGATACCACTAATACTATACCTTACTAGATTGTTATTGGTATAAATGTTTGAAAGATATGGACATGACCCATCAAAGTCAATTAAAAACGCATTTCCCAAGCAATTAAATTGACTTATTAATTATTTAGAATTCGGGAGTTTCGATTAATTTATATATTAAAAAACTTATTTACTTCGACGCGATAATGATAAAATTCCATATCAGCGATTAATGTCTTAATTTCCTTTATAAAATTATTTTACAATATTTTTATTCATATCGATCAATACATTTTATGTTTATTTACTGCTATCACTTTATCCTTTCTATTACATTTAATTGCCGTCAGAAAAAAGAAGGCCACAACTTCGTCAAAGTTGATGTCGAGATATTTGAAGTTTTATCTCAGTACTTAGCAGTAGTTTGTACGCAGTTACGATGAAAATGGTTACGGTACCTCCGGACTCATAAGACTTAGAGCTTTACGAGTGAGATTATCAAGTAGCATTTTTTTTGCTGCTTTTAAGTCATTTTTGACCAAATTGTTAATTAGGGCTTTCTTTATTATGACGGTAGTATTCATTATATATCAGTATTCTCTAAATATTTAACATTTTTCTATACATTCACTAATAAAATACGACTTATTATAGCCTTATAGTATATATTATGGATCAGACTAAGGAATAATATAAACAGAGTGTCATAGAACTAAATATGAAGCTACACAGTAGCGATTTAATATAATATATTATACTAGTGACTCCCCCTCGCTTCGCTCGGGTTCGTCCTTATTTACGTTTTAACGTTTAGTATAGATTTCTCAAAGATGAGATATTTTCCCGCAGTAACAAGTATCCTATATGTTGACCCGGATAACCAGCTATTATCATACCAAATTTCATCAAAATCCCTCGAGTGGTTTTCCGTGATGCGGTCACAGACAGACAGACAGACAGACAAAAATTCTAAAAACTATAGATTCGGCCTCTGTATCGATAATACTGACTATTTCAATAAGATTTTCCAAAAAATATTTAATGTACAGATTCGGCTTAGTTAGAATTTTATTATATGCATAGATTATGTTTTCAATACGGAATACAAATATTAATAGAATATTCGTTACTGTAATAAGTAAATAACTTTTACTAAATAAAAATAGCTAACATTATGCTATGTCGTCTTCTCCATTCTACGTGACATTGGCGAAGTGATCTATGCTCATCTGGCACGCTTTGAAGCCATTAACAAGAGACTTGAATTGAATTATTCTTTGAATTATTATTGTCTATTTCGAGGAAAATAGAACCAATTCTTAATAAATACAAAATACTAATACCTATTATCTAAATAGTTTTATTTTTATTATTCATATTTTCTTCTAAAAAATTGTAAATTAACGTCTAATACCTATAGAAAATTTTCCTTATTCTTTGAAGAAAGTAAACCATATGTACGACAAAATCGAAAATAGTAGCATAAACAGTAAAACACGCTACTATTTTTGGCTATGACATTTGGCGGACTCCATGTATATAATTCTTTAGTCTGAGTATAGACCAAACAAATAGATATGCACGATATATTTTATAATAAAATCAATATATTTCAAGTACACATTATATAGTCAATTTAAATACATATAAATTTTACGCATGTGTCCATTTGTCATAAAAAAATAGCGCCATATGTATATATATATATATATATATATATTGTCTATTTTTTTATTTACTTTTTTCATGTAAAGGAATTGTTTATTATATACATATGTTTTTATAAGAAATGTACACATGTGTAGAATAAGCTTTATACGAAATGATAGGTGCAATTTCATAGATTTTCACAGTGTATAACGAGTATTATAATATATATTTTCACGATATATTTATATTAAATTAAACATAATAGACTCATTTAATGCGGTACTATAACTATATACGAATTTTAATACTAGGCATTATTATTTTTTTCTCTGCTAAAAAGAAATAATATCTATAAAAAATGCGATCTCAAAAAGACAATAATCTGTCATCAACATTTTTTCGGAATAAAGAATGAAATTTGGCCATAAAAAATATATTAATTTTTCATTATTAATGTCTTTAAATAATGCTTTTACATTTAACGTAGATATGCCCTTTTTCTTTTTTTTACAATTCATCAATTAATTGTTGAAAGTATTTTTTTTATTTTTTTCAATACGTATATGATGTAGCATAAATAAATAATACAAAGCTACGTGTTTTTTTTTTAATATAACAGTTTTATATTTGTTCACTTTGTACTTAAGCTTTTTGTTCCTATTTTCGTAGCTTATTTATTATTTGTATTATAATTTGTTTCTTTTTATTTACTCGTTATGTTTAGTACCAAGATCGTTTATATATTTAGTATCAAACATCCTGTATTTATATATGGGTATACGCCATGAATTTTTATATTAATTCCCTTATGTTTGCTACTCGAACTAGAATTACGTTATGAGCAAAGGAGACAGAAGATATTAAAATCAATAGGCTAAAAAGAGACGCATTGATATTTCTTTTCAATAGACATTTAAGCCATAATCTTCAACGAAGTTTATTATAAACTAATTCGTTTTTTGTACTTAATTTTTCCTATTTATTTTAATTAATATATAAGAATTATTATTATAATTAAGATAATCAATATTTTTTAGAGATTTAGTTAGAAACTAGTTATTTCAACACGATTAGTTTTGATTAAAAAAGAACACCCTGTATACTTATTATATCTTCCATTACTATAATTGATATGTAAGATTTTTCGATTTAAGCCCCATTTAAAAATATGACAAATCGTCACATATAACTCATAACTGTTACACGTTTAAATGTATTGTTAATTTAATCTGCATAATTTAAAAGTGTTACCATATAAAAATACAATATAGTGGTGTTGCTAGTTTTTAATGTGAAATAAATAAAAATTATTTTTAGTTAAATGTTACCATTCTCTAGGTGCTTTGGCAACTTAGATAAGATTTATCTATTATAATAAATAGGCAAATATTTGATTGATATAATCTGTGTAAGTCTACGTTTTTTTTAATCCTGTCATTTGTATGTCCTATATCCATGCAGCCCGCGAGCAATAATTAGTATTATTTATATTTACTTTTTTTAGTATTGTTAATTAATATAATTGTGCCCTTTAAATTGGAAATTTAGGTGTCTTTTAAGGCACACAAATCCACCATATATTTGAATATATATTTTTTCTTTTACTTCAAAATAAATCAAATTGGAAGGAATCCAAAAATATTGTTTTATTTAAAATGTCAAATATTCGCGAAAATACATAATGAGTAAAAATCAGAAAATTGAAAA